ATCTTGGTTTTACTCTTAATGCTACATGTCAGCAGTACACCAAGGAATGAATCTTTTGTTGATGTATAGTGCAGTGCACTTAGAGATGGAGTCATGAAAGGTATGTCCTTTAGTTTGAGGAAGTTTCCACATGTTATTTCTTTAATCATTTCTTCCCTGCATTTTCTCTGGCATTTTTCCTGGAATTCCTATTAGTTGTATGTTTGACCTTCTGCAATGACACTCTTCTTATCTGTTCAATAGTGTGTCTCTTTGTCTTTTAGTCCATTTTTTCTGGGAAATTTTCTTGACTTTTTCTTCCAAACTCAGAATTATACTTTTAATATTTGTGACCATCTTTTTAATTTCACATAGCTCTTTTTAAACTTTTCTGTAGACCTTTTATTTCTGATTACATGTTACATTCTGTATATATATATATATTTTTTTATAAAGTGATGGAGAGCTAGACTCCCTTCTTTTTTTTATTTATTTTTTTTTATTAAAAAGCTTATTTTTACATCATTTTGCACATTTTTTTTCATCTCAATTGTAATCCCCACGTCATTCTGTATATATTTTTTAGCATTTTGTTTCCTCCTTAAATTGCTTTTTCTCTTATCCTCAAATGTCTGGTGCTTCTCAACTAGCTGTTAATAGTTGAGAACAATATTCAAATATTGATCAAATGCTCTAGGTCAGGGTCCAAGCATGTCAAATGGAACATAACTTTAAGGGTGACCTAATCATTTTGTTGGGCACCCTTCTTAACCATCAGTATTTTAAAACTTTTCTTTTGAACTGGTTCATTTTCCAGAGAAGCATGTTCTCATCTCATGTAAAGTGTGAGGTAAATCCAGCTGCCAGCAATTAGGAGACTGGAATAGAAGAAAGGACTTACCATCAGGTGTGAAGAATTTCACTAATCCCCTCTCAGCTCATCTGGGCTTTGAAATTTACTGTTTCTGTAATTTGGCTCTCCAGGAAAAAAAAAATCTCCAGTGATCTGCCAGGACTAAGAAGCAGCTACACTCTCAGCTGTGCCAGAAATGCAGGGAATCAACCAACCCAGTTTTCAGCTCTACCTATAACATGAATCAGTTTGCATCTTGGTTTTCACTGCCAGCTTAGCGTTTAACTTTCTTAGTCTGATACTTCATTACTGTTCTTCAATGTGCTTTCTTGCTTCTAAAATGTTGTCATTATTATCTTTTCTCCCAACCTTGAGTTTATGCATTTTTTAAAATTCTTTTATAATCATAATGAAACAAATGTGTATATTCAGCCTGCCATGTTTAGCCACTATTACAGATGTAAAATACTTGAGTCATCACAATTTGACTTCCTATCTCTCTGGTGTTCTTGCCCAATTTTCTTCACTGGCTTCCCCCACTTTGGTCAGTCTTTAAATATGAAGAGCCCTGAGGCCTTGCTCCTTGACTTCTACTCTTCTTTATGTTCCTTTGCTAGATGACCTCAGCTGCATCAGTTTAAATACTATTTAGAGCAAAAGGGCATTTTAGTTTCTTTGCTGACCTCTACCTTGGAGACATTTCTTGTATATCTCTAAATGTCCCAAAGGTAGCAGAAGTTTTATCTCCTACTCAAACCCTGCTCCCCAATAAAAGCTATTCCTCTTGTTTTAGTTATTCAAGTCAAAACCTAGGATTCATCCTAGATTGCCTCATCTCTTTCCAAGCATTCCAGCCATCAATACCCAGCAACTCTACCTCAAAATACCTGAACTCACCCCTTTTTGACTTTATAAAAATAAAATGGCTTAATTTTTTTTTTTTAAAGATTTATTTATTTGTGCATACAGAACTGGGGTACAGGCCAGAGGCTCAGGGGCGGTGAGAGGCTTCACCAGAGACAGAGTGGGGAACAGAACAGGCAGATGGACGAAGTACACTGCTGAGGGGAGCAGCGGGCGGGTCAGGAGAGGTCTGCCACGCCATGTGGTCTCCTCCGGGGCAGGCGGGAATCGAACTCATGCGGAAGCGGCTTTAGATTCTCAGTGCTGTGCTTTAACCCGCTGCGCCACCAGGGAGGGCCTAATTTTTTTTTTTTAATTAAAAATAATGCCTATGTTACCTGGCTGTTGGTTGGTCTGACAGAATTAAAATTTGAAAGTAATTTTTCCCAAGACATCATCTTTTGCCTGGCCTCCCCCAATAACTTCTCAGTGGCTTCCCATGCTTCTTTTCTTTGCCAATCTATATATTCTCTCCACGTAATCTTTTTTTTTTTAATTTATTTATTTATGCATACAGAACTGGGTTACAGGCCAGCAGTGCAGTGAGGGTGACAGGATTCACCAAACACAGAGTGGGGAGCAGAACAGGCAGATCTACTAAAATAAACTGCTGAAGGGAGCAGCAGGAGAGACAGGAGAGGTCTGCTGTGTCATGTGGGTCACCTCCCTTGCAGGGGATTGAACTTGTGCTGCAGTAGCTGAGGATTGTTTCATAGTGCTGTATTTTAACCCCTTACACCACCAGAGGCCCTAAGATAATCTTTTTTAAATATACAGCATGCTGGGGCCCTCCTTGCTGGCACAGCGGGTTAAAGCACAGCACTAAGAAACTAAAGCCACTTCCGCATGAGTTCGATCCCCGCCTGCCCCGGAGGTGACCACATGGCATGGCAGACCTCTCCTGACCCGCCCACTCCTTCCCTCAGCAGTGTACTTCATCGATCTGCCTGTTCTGCTCCCTGCTCTGTCTCTGGTGAATCCTCTCACCCTCCACATCTCTGGCCTGTACCCCAGCTCTGTATGAATCAATAAATAAACCTTTAAAAAAAAAAAATATATATATATATATATACAGCATGCTACACCTTGCCTTAAAACTCTCCAAAGGCTTGAAATGCACTTATTATGACCCAGATTCCTTACCTTGGTTTTCAAGGACTTACAAAGTTTTCTTTCTATCTCTTTAATCTCCTCTCTAATCCTCTCACTCTATACTACAGTCACTCTGGCGTTTTTAAACCTGACAAGATCATTTCTATCCTTGGATTATCATAGGCTTTTCCCTCTATTTGGAATATTCTTTCTTGTCATTAAAGCCTCATCTTCAAGGTCACCTTCTCAGACCATCCCTGAACACCAAGTGGTTACCAAGTCACTTTCATTATCTGTTTAAGATCTAAAAATATCTGATTTTTATTTACTTTATTTACACATTTACTTGTGTAATCTTGTTCTCTCCTACTGGAATATAACCTTTATGAGAGCAGGGATCTCATCTGTTTTGTTCAGAATTGTATCTGTAGGGCTCAAAACAGTGTCTGCTATGTAATTGACACTATAAACTTGGTCAAGAAAGGGAACACTGATGAGAAGAAAAGTCATGTTTTTAAGCATTTTTAAAGAAAGAAGGTGTAACCATGACACTTAGGCTAATTAAGTACAGGTTTCATTCTGAATAGAAACGAGTCCTTAATAGGCATAGGTAACAAAAGTTTTCAAGCTTGGCACTACTATTTACAATTCTTTGTGGGCGGCAAGGGGATGGTGGCTGATCAATGCATTATAGGATGTTTAGCAGCATTTCTGATCTTTACACACTAGATCCTAGTAACATCCTCCAAATTGTGATAACCAAGAGCCTCCAGACTTTGCCAAATGTCTCCATGGGACAAAACACTCCAGAGAACTACTGGTTAAAAGAAGTTCCAGTTCTCATTGGTCAGGAAGGAGTCTGCAATTAAGTCTTATAAAGGCCTGTCAACATAGGGTCAGTCAAAACTTGTGACTTTTTGTTAACTAAATAAAGCCTTGGCAATGAAACAGTTTTAACAACTTCTAAGCAAATGCTGCAGTAACTACATGTGGAACCTGGGGGATAAGCTGATGAGGAAGTTGCTCTTACAGTATCTCAAGAGAATGTGTTAGTTGCTAGGAAAAAATAACAGTTAAAAGAAAAAGTCGAGAAACTATGCAACTCTAAACCAAGTGATAAAATTAAGCTTACTTATGGCAGACATCTATCAAGTGTCTGCAGAGTTGAGGAACAAGAAAAAGATGTAACACTGCCAGGAATGCATAACCTCCATTTAAATCACAAGAAATCATACACTTCAATTTAAATCACAAGAAACATAAACAAAAATAAGAAAGTTCTATTTTTTAATAGTGGGAAGGGTTACAGTGTTCTTCCAAGCATCAGTGTTTATAAAAGACAAAATGGGAACTGTTTCAGATTAAAGAGTCTAAATAGACCGGATAACCAAATGTAACATCTGGCTCATGTACTGTAGGTGGGAAACAGCTATACAGCACAATATTAGGTCAACAGACAAAACTGGAATATAAACTAGATCAAAGAAAATGTTTTAAGAAAATAGACTTATAGAGTTGGTGATTATACTGTGATTATGTAAGGGACTCTCTTTTCCTAGGAAACACGGAAGAGTTGAGAGAAATGTTATACAGATAGATATGGATATATCTATACATATATCGATATAGACAGATACACACACACACATATATACACACCTCTAACCCGACAGAATTTAACACTGACTCTGTAAAGCAATTTGATTTACGAAATCTGACAGGTTAGAAGCTAACAATAAGTCTTAAAACAATTACAGGTCAGGAAACTGGAAATAATTATCAAAACAATAACTGTTGTAGAAACCTCATGAATTGAAAAAGCCAACAATCTGTCTAGTTTGTGGTCCTGGGGGCGAGACACAAAGTTTCTCGAACCTTCAATCCCTCCATCCCAGAGTGCTTTTGGAAGCTTATCAGAGCCTCTATTATATATTCAGTGCCGCCTGGAGAGGTGTAACAAAAGGCAAGACTACAGTCATAACTACTTTACAGCCATCCAGCATAAATGCCCGGCAAACTGCAGCTGCCTCACTGTCACCTTTCCGACGCCACACGGGTGGGCAGGCTCAGGCGAAGCGCACGGTCGCGTCCAGAGCGGCGGGCTTCTCTCCAAGCAGCGCCAGCAGCGGTCCCGAGAGCGCAGGCGCGGAGTTGCGTCACGTGACTCCGATCCCAGCGTCCGCTGGAGCAGCCTCGCTCTGCCCGCCCCCTCTCGAATGTCTTCGCGGGATCGCCCTGGAAACGCATTCTCGTAGGAACCAGCAGCCGCCAATGGGAAGGAAGCGAGTGCCACGAACCGGCCAATAAGGAGGGAGCGGTGCGGGGTTTAAACCTAAGGCGGGGCGGCTCCTCCCGGCGTGCTGCGGAGGAACGGCTGTTGATCTGCTTTAGGGTTCAGGTGTTGGACTGGTCTGGGGCTCCCGCGCTCTGTTTCTCCCCACTGAGCTGCTGCCCGGGGAAGAGAAAACCATGGCGCTACGGGTCACCAGGGTAAGCTGCTGCGGACCGTGAACAGCGCGGCCTTCCTCGCTGGCTGCAGGTCCTCTTGCCCCATTTCGCCTGCTGTAGTCGCCTCCCCCACTACCGGGGTTGGAGCGGACTGGGGAGACGATTTGGGGGTGAGAGTGGGGTGTGGTGGTCCCCTCCACGGTGAGGGGATTTGGGATACGGAGGAAGGTGAGCACGAGCTGAACCGGCCTGGTGTAAATGTTGCGTGGCGAGGGGTTCGTCGACGGGAAACCTTTTAGACAAGTGATGGAGGGCTGGGAGGAAGCTACCGACTTCGTGACTTGCTTCCCAGAAAGAAGGTGCCAGCAATTGAAGGCATTTTCGATTTCCTTTCTAATGTAAATCCCTGGTGCTTTAGGCCGTCGGGGACTAACCTGGCAATCTCGCCTGGCGAATGGGGTCAAACCGACTTGCACTGCCTTGGTGAGGGTCTTGGAACCCCAAGAGGGATCGAAACTTCAACCCCTCCATCCCAGAGGGGTGCCCCAGGCACCCCTGGGAATTCCTTTCCTGCTGGCTTAACTCCGGAGAGCCCCCTTTACCTCGCCATAATTAACCAACCCGTGACTTACTCTAACCTGGCCGGGTCAGTTCTCAAAATGGTCTTGCTTATTTCAGAACACGAAAATCAGTGCTGAAAATAAGGCGAAGATCGGTATGGCAGGCGCAAAGCGCGTGCCTGTGGCCTCTGCTGTAGCCTCCAAACCCGGGCTGAGGCCAAGAACAGCCCTTGGAGATATCGGAAACAAAGTCAGTGAACAGCCACAGGCCAAAATGCCGCTGAAAAAGGTAACTATCTTCCCGAGCCAGCTTCTCTTTAAAGAGTTCACCATCGACTGTGACCTTCCTTGGAGAAACATTCCATTCTCTTTCACCCACAGGAAGCAAAAACTTTAGCCCTTGGGAAAGTGATGACTAAAAAACTACCAAAACCTCTAGAAAAGGCACCTATGCCTGTGGTGGAACAGGAACCAGAGCAGGACCCTGAGCCTAATCTTGAGCTGGAATCTGAGCCTGTTAAAGAAGAAAAACTGTCTCCTGAGCCTATTTTGGTAAATTTATTTTCTCATTCAGAGGCTGTTATAACTGTCTCTTTTCTCTCATTTTACTGATGCATAGAATTTTAATTCGAATGTAACCTCTGAATAACAAACTACAGCACTGGAATATATGAAAGTGTCAAGGAGAAATGTAGCTCATCTAACAGTAAGATGAGTTAAGAGCCTCAAAAATGAATTTAACCCTGTAAAGGAAAAACAAACAGGTCATCTAGAAGAGGCTGCTTTGCTAAAATTGGAATGATGAGCATTCTGAACTTCTAGTTTTAGTAATTTAACTAAAATTGGCTATAAAAGACATTTGCTCAAATTAAGAATAATAAGGATTTTTTTTACATAAGAATAAGTGATTTGAGTCTGGTGTTTAATATCTCACCTACTGTTAGAAGAACTACATTAGGAAACCTGTATTGTGTGCAATATTTAATCAGCGGTGTCAAACTACTTGAGGGTTTCCTTAAAAAGTCCTATATCAATTCTTACCTTTGGATCCCCATTTATTTAGAATGCCATTATTCCCACTCTCTCCTGTTTAGCTAGTAACATTTTCATCCTTTAAAACAGCTCGAGCTTCAACTGCTAAAACTTTCTCTAACTTCCTCCATACCTGCCATTGTTTCTAGAATTAATGACATCACTTCATTTATTGTCTCTTCTAAATGCAAAGCCCTGTGAAAGACACCATAAAGCCTTTTCCTAGCACAGAGCTTGACTTTAAGAGCTTCAAAAAAAAGTTTGAACAATAATGTAAAGGGAGCATTTTGCAGGATATAGTTAATGGTAACATAAGAAATCTATTATTATCTCCAATTTTCCTCTAAACTGCATCTGGCATTAATAAAGATATTGTGCATTCACAGTTTCATTCAAATAGGACATGAGTGGCTTTCCACTTTTTAAATTCTCCTTCACTGGTTACCAAAAACTAAGTCAAATGACAAACCAGTGAAGACTTTGTCATTTGTAAAGGGAATGTTCTAAGTGAGAGCTGGATGTGAGGGCCATCTGGCTGCAATAGCTATACAGTTTTCCTGAGCGGTGAGAAATCCATGCTGTGAAATAAAGACTAAGGCCTGACTTGTTCAACTGGACTAAATTTACATGATGCTGATAAACAGATTCATTACCTAGCAGTTACCCAGTTACCTTTTGAAGAACAGCTTGAATAGTATTTGCTTCCTATTTTACCTGTCAGTGTTTAGATTCTGTTAACTTCAAACTGGCTCACTCTAAGTAGACATTTCACTTTTATATTAATCATTTCCTGAAGAGAAATAAAATAAATTTGACAGAGAAATTTCTTTATGGAAACAAATTATGTATCTTTTCAGCAGATGGTCTTTTGAGTTGGTATCATTACTCTTATCTTCATTTCCAAACTATGGTGTATACTCCACTTTGCTGTTGTTTTGAGATAGCTTTCTGTTTTCAAGGTTGATACTCCCTCTCCAAGCCCAATGGAAACATCTGGATGTGCCCCTGCAGAAGAATATCTATGTCAGGCTTTCTCTGATGTAATTCTTGCAGTAAATGATGTGGATGCAGAAGATGGAGCTGATCCAAACCTTTGTAGTGAATATGTGAAAGATATCTATACTTATCTGAGACAACTTGAGGTCAGTGCTGTTATTTGAGTCTTACTGTTTTTCTAAACTGCATGTGGCACTATTAAAGATATTTTCCATTCAGTTTATAATTCAAGTAGGACAGAGCAGTTTTCCACTTTTAAATTTTCCTTTGCTGATTACCAGAAACAGTCACATGACAAACCAATGAAGTCATTCAAGTAAGACATGAGTGACTTTCCACTTTTAAATTCTCCTTCACTGATTACCAAAAACTAGTAAAAGGAACATTAAAGGTGAGAATTGGGAATGTGAGCGTCATCTGGCTGCAACATTTATCACCCCATTTATGTCCAGGGTTTATTGGGCTGATCCGCAGGCCAGATGGGTGTCCCCTTTCTCCCTCACCACTCCATGTGGGTCCCTCCCAAAGCTGAGAGCTCAGTAGAAAACAACTCCCTTCCCTGAACAGAAAGGACCCTTCTTCAGGCAGTCAGGGGTATATAGTAATTGCACTCCCCTGCTAGAACCACCAAACAGACTTTCTTTTTTTTTTTCTTTTTTTTTTTTTTTAAGGATTTATTTGTGCATACAGAACTGGGGTACAGGCCAGAGGCTCAGGGGCGGTGAGAGGCTTCACCAGAGACAGAGTGGGGAGCAGAGCAGGCAGATCAATGAAGTACACTGCTGAGGGGAGCAGCGTGCGGGTCAGGAGAGGTCTGCCGCACCATGTGGTCACCTCCCGGGCAGGCGGGAATCGAACTCATGCGGAAGTGGTTTCAGCTTCTTAGTGCAGTGCTTTAACCCGCTGCGCCACCAGGGAGGGCCCAAACAGACTTTCAAAGTGAGAGGTGGTACTGAATGATGTGTTTATATCCATACAGTTAAGAGCAGTGTGTGTTTAAGGAGGATAATACACAGGAGATAGATAGTAATCTAGAAAATGCTGAAAAACTATATTCACCTTCATCATAAGGCATTGGGAGTCAATATGGATGATTTCTATGTGACATCAAGGGGATAATAATACTGCATTTTAATTTGTTGCACACCAGGGAGGGCCCTCCATAACACTCCACTTTTGAAAATCAATATTAATTAGTAGGCTCTCTGTACTCTCCTGCCTCCCCACTGGACAAAACAAGGTAGCATTCTAGATGCTAACAAACTATATGGTTACCAAATTTACCCAATTGTCTGTTTATAATGTATTCATACCTCAGTATCAGTAACCTTTTCAGTGTCATGCCTAGTTCTTTTTCGATAGGATAAGCCTGCAAGTCAGACTTCTTGCCAGACCAACAGTCTTTTTTGGATTTCCTCTCCCTTTTTGGTGCTTTTTTAAATACTTCTGAAGAGTGGGTTAACCGCAGATGTATGTATTGGTCTTTAATTTTAGTGAACATAAGTATATGGAGTTAAGAATTGGTCAATCCTAACTGCTACAGAGCTATTCTGTAGTGACTGATAGTTCTGGTCAGAAATGTCACATGGAGTCTTGCTGCAGAGAATAATCAGCATTTCTTTTGCAGGAAGAGCAAGCGGTTAGGCCAAAATACCTACTAGGTCGTGAAGTCACTGGAAACATGAGAGCTATCCTAATTGACTGGCTGGTACAGGTTCAGATGAAATTCAGGTTGCTTCAGGAGACCATGTACATGACTGTTTCCATTATTGATCGGTTCATGCAGGTGAGCATATTTCAGTAATTGATGTTTCTCATTTCTGGGATCCTAGCTAAAAATCTGTCTTGGAGGACAGGGTATCATTAGTTGAGATTTCACTGTAGAAGTCTTCTCCCTGCCCCTCCTCCTTCAGTGCTCTGTGTATCCTTTATCAAATACATATTACTTTATCCATTTGCAATTTACATTGCAGAATAACTGTGTACCCAAGAAGATGCTGCAGCTGGTTGGTGTTACTGCCATGTTTATAGCAAGCAAATATGAAGAAATGTACCCTCCAGAAATCGGAGATTTTGCCTTTGTGACTGACAACACTTACACTAAGCACCAAATTAGACAGATGGAAATGAAGATTTTAAGAGCTTTAAATTTTGGCTTGGGTCGCCCTCTGCCTCTGCACTTCCTTCGGAGAGCTTCTAAGATTGGAGAGGTATAGATTTCTTGAGAAACCTTTGGTATGGTACATTTAAAGGAGACTGCTGACCAAAACAGTCAAATATAATTAGTTAGGGGGCCTCCCCAGTGGCACAAGGATTCTGAGGATAGCGTGAGTTCGATCCCTGACCAGGGAGCTGATCCATATGGTGCAGCAGACCTCTCCTGTCTCACCCACTGCTCCCCTCAGCAGTGTATTTCTGTCAGTCGGCCTGTTCTGTTCCCCACTCTGTCTCTGGTGAATCCTCTCACACACATATACACAACCTGCACCTCTGGCTGACATTCCAGCTCTTGTATGCATAAATAAAATAAGCTATTTTTTTTTAATTCTAGCTAATGGGGAAGAATAAAAATATTCTTTGTTTTCAGCCAAGTTGCATATTAATATTACCAAGTCTTTGCATGGGCAATTGCATTTGAGAGTTGGTAGTCAAACATTTGTATTTTATAGAGATGGGCATACTATAATGTTTATTGCCAATATGGAATTTTCTGAAAGTAGTTCAGTATTCTGTGGTTTTTCTTCCAGGTTGATGTTGAGCAACATACTTTGGCCAAATACTTAATGGAATTAACTATGTTGGACTACGATATGGTGCACTTTCCTCCTTCTCAAATTGCAGCAGGAGCTTTCTGCTTAGCACTGAAAATTCTCGATAATGGTGAATGGGTAAGCTCTGTCACACATACATAGTCACCATAAGCTTTTAAGTTGTAGCTGTATTTGCCTGATTACAGAACTTTTTTTTTTTTTTTCATTAAAGTACAACTTAAAGGGCTCCTAAATATGCAATCTAGCTGTGGATGATTTAAAATGATATCTTGATTATCTTTCAGCTTAAAGTGCTCACATTTCATTACCTAATTTCATCTTTCAGTACTGATTTGAGAAAACAACTTTTCCTTACAGATGGCGACATCCATATTAGACAAATTACATCCTAAAAGTCCATTTATATTCATTGATTTAATCAATTCTCTTACATGTCATGTGCTACCTAGACATAAAATTGAATGAGGAAGTTTGCCTCAGGTAATTTAAGATTCTAGCTGTGAGGTAAACAAATGAGCAATTACTATAGTATGATTAGGCTTGAGCGTATTAATGTATGCTAGGTTTAAGCAGGGGATTCAGAGAAAAAAGAAAAAAGGACCTGAGAAAGAAGGGGGTCTTAAGTTCCAATTGTCTTGAACTGCAGTTATAGTGACACATCCATTATTTAGCTCCCTAGGCTACTCTTGAATATTCCTAGATGTTTCTAGGAATTTTATGAATGCTATTGTTAACGAGCATTTTTAACACTGTTTTTAGACTCCGACTCTACAGCACTACCTGTCATACACTGAAGAATCCCTTCTTCTTGTGATGCAGCACCTGGCTAAGAATATCGTCATGGTGAATCGTGGACTTACAAAGCACATGGTAAGCCAGTAAGCTATGCATTGTGAATGTTAGAAAACATCAAAATAATTGGCTTTTGCTTGCAATTGCATATATTATTAAGTGAGTATTTTTAGTGAATATTATTGTATCTTTTGTTTTCCTCCATTAATTAGTATGCTTTTCTCTTTCAGACTATTAAGAACAAGTATGCCACATCTAAGCATGCCAAAGTCAGCAATCTGGCACAGTTGAATTCTGTAATAGTTCAAGATTTAGCCAAAGCTGTAGCAAAGGTGTAACTTGTGAACTTGACTTGGAATACTATATCTGCAAATAAAATTGGCACCATGTGCTATCTGTACATATTATGCTCATTTACTTTTAATAAAGTTTGTGGTCCTTTTTACCTATACCTTTAACTCATGGCTACTTCCTACTCTAGAATAATCTAAAAGTTATCTTAAAGGTTTGGTGGGGAATGCAACAAATGTATATAACTGTAGCTTATGTATTTTGCTCTTGTTTTATGTATCTTGGCATGTACTGAGGTGAAAGCACTAAAAACTGACTTCCATAGGGCATATTGCCTGTAAGCCCAGTCATTTTGGAAAATCTGCTGCTTAATTCTTAGTGTTTACTACTTCATCCCTAATGCTGCCCCTCTTTTCTATTTCTCTTGTCTTGCTGCCATATTCTGACTCTCTTTTTGCCACTAATTTTCACCTGCAGCTATTATCATCTTTCACTTGAAAAAATAAGAATTCTATACTCAAAACTTAAACTTTTTGTTGGTTAAGAAAATAAAGTGATAAACACAACAAATACAAAGGTAAAGTTTGCCATTCCTTACTTTTGTGCCAACCCATCCAGGAGAAAGGATATCAACTGTTTGATGTGTCCTTATGCCTTCTATAGCACACATGCATAAATTGTTATGGAGATACAAAAAAACAGTACTTTATATACTTAGCAGTTCATTTCAATGTGTGTGTATTGGGTATAAATTTCATTGTTTGAATATATTACAAGGCATTCCACCGTTTCCCTTCTTAGTCACATTTTTTTCCAAAGTCTATTTTAAGTTTCAGCAGTTATTAGCAGATGACTTAACAATGTACAAAGGTACTGATATTTCTCTGCATTTTTGCAAAAACTTACAGTAATCATTGTCTTCAATATTTGTAATTTTGGCCAAGAATTGCCTAACTTATTTGCTGTTTTAATACTTTCATGGCTACTTGAATAAATTGTGGACTTATCAACACATTAACTTTTCCAAGTTTGTTGTTTTTCCTTTGACTTTATGCTGTCCTTTTATATTATTTACATTTTATAAATATACTTTTTATAGTTCATTGCTTTTTTTCAATATTAAAGTGAACTTTATCCATAAGCATCTTCTAAAATTCTAAGTTTTTCCTGTTTACATCTATAGTTCTCAGTACATTTAATAGGTGATACAAGATTCTTACCATTTACACCAATACCATATGAAAGTGACTAGTTCCTTAAAAGAGAAGCCTGCATAGTCCCCAAGGGACACCCTTAGAGGAGAAGCTGCCTCTGATGCTTTCCAAAGGGAAAAGAAACACCTGCAGGAAAGCTGCTGCCATCAAAACTATGATTAAAATCATCCTTGTCTAACCTAATTGAAATATCAATATTCCCTGATCTGCATCAGTATTGAATAACATTTTTGGATTCATGAGCTAGAAAACTCCTAACAAATCAAGAAAAGTGATGTATGTTGGCTATGAAAAATTTTATCTGGTAAGGTGTTACGTGTTTTTCAAATATTGGGAGTAAAATCATGAATTTTAAAGTGTTAAGTTATTTTGAGAGTTTGCACATTATGTATATACATGTAGTAGTACATTAGTATGAACTAACAGTGTCTTTCCATTCAAACTTCTCCCTCAAGTCTTGTTTCATCTACTTCAATACAATGCTGTCTCTTGCTTCTTTTATCACTGGTTTGCTTTTTTTCCTAGCCAAAATACATCACTTTCCTTACTTGATTTGTCATTAGGGGAGTTTTCTAGATCCTGAATTCAAAAATTTTATTCAATTCTGATGTATTGTAGATCTCAATCACTGATATAGATACCTTCCTGTTCTTTAGTACATTGACCATTTAATATTTTGGTTATTAGTCAAGGTGGTCTGTATTTTAGGTATTTTCCCATATTGTCTAGCATTGTTAATAATAGGAAGGCTGTGGAATTACATTTACTTTTTAAGGTTATGGTATCATGACTCTTCTATTTTAATCTAATAATAGTTCACATTAGAGGTTTTTCTTAGAGTGGAATAAGTCCACATTGGAGGTTTTTCTTAGAGTGGAATAGTTTCTTACTCATGGTAGATAGATTGAATTACCTAATGCTTTATTTAGAAAACTTGCCCCTCATTTAGGAAATAGGCATAGTTTTTGTTGATATTTTTTCTGGTATTTGGCTTATTTTTGACATTTTTAAAGTAGATGAAGATTTTCATCTAAATGTCTTATAATTTGAAATGTTTATACATTGAAAACCAGCTAAATTAAACTTTAAAGTCCTGGAATTTACTAAAATAGTAATTTTCCATGTTTTTTGTGATCTGTCCTGGAATTTACTAAAATAGTAATTTTCCATGTTTTTTGTGATCTTTAGGGATTTTCTCCCCAATTATACAAAACATCTTTTAGTTTTTGTTTTCTTTTGTTACTACAGTTTTTGTTTTCTGTTGTTCACTACAGATGTAATTCATGATGTAATTATATCTCTTCTGTATTAAAGCTTCATTTCTCATTCTGGATATCAAATAAGTTTAGTCAGCAGACTTGTTCAATGGTCCTTTTATTGGTGCTTTAAAACAATCAGTTTTTGGAGTTATTTTTACCTTTATAGTTTTGGCTTTTACATTTTCACTATCTGACTTCCTTTGGATTTTTTAAAACAAATATTTAATGAACATGGAATGCACACAATTAAAATTCACATTTAGCAAAAATGATGTAAAAATAAACATATAATGATACATGAGAATTACTAACTTCTAAAATGCTCTCAACAAATTCTAAGAATAGGTATCATTCCACACTTTCCCAGTACAACTCATTGAAGCTAAAAGTCAATTGTAAAAAAGTAACATCTAGAATTTTGTTGATTTATGGTTTGTTTACAAAACTAATTTTAGTAATTTCACACCCTTACATACACAGGTGTGTATGTGCTTCACTCTTCTAGTTTAAAATATTTTCTGTACTTTGTAATAAAAACTCAAATTAGTGTGAAGTCCTTTTTGTCAATTTTGGTTGTTATAATTTGTCTTTGTAATGCATCTATTATGTTAGTCATTTAAAGTCATTAGGGGTGTAGGCTGTAAAAATGCCTTTTTGAAGCAATGTTTTGTTTGTGGTTAAGTATTTGATGACTTCTGTAAATATTTCATAGGGGGCAAATTAATAGTGATTTATAATAATATTAAACTATGCTTAACTATGTGGAGTAGCAAACTGGGTTATACATACCAATATGTACATGTACACAAGCTCCTTTACTTTAACAAAGCCATTTGAAAGTAAATATTAATTAGATGTCAAGATAAAATTTTAAAGATTTTAAAATTTTAAGAATCAAGGTTATTTCCTAAATAACCATTATATCTATCACACTAGGAAAATACCTAATATGCAGATCATACTCAAATTTGCTCAATGGTTCAAAAATATTTTAGAAGTTACCCAAGTTATTGTATATAGTTCTTGTATGACTGTTTCTTCCTAGTTACCTTGGGCTATGCATTTTGACTAGAATATAGTTAATATGTATTTAATGCATGCTATTGGAGTCATCAAAATATTAAGCTACTGGTGATACCAAGTTTAATCATCTTGTTGACATAATCACCAGATAAAGCTTTGCTGTGAAGTTGCTGCTCTTATTCTCAGCATTGATTAATGATACTTAATGTTGAATCATTTATCTCACAGGATTAATATGATGGTAATTATCCCTTCTATAGTAATGAACATTTTCTTTAAAGAAAAACTCCCGACACTCCCTTCACCTTTCTTGGTTTACTCTGTTTTTTTTTTTTTTTTAACTTTTAAAATATATTACTGCAGTGATTCTCAAATTGTCCCTAGTCAGCAACAGCAATATCATATGAAAACTTAATAGGACTGCAAATTAGTAACTTGAGATGCATCTAACAATTTCTTTTAACCACTCTCTGATGCACGCTCAGGCTGGAGAACTATTACGTCGTCTTTTCCAAATTTGGCCATACACACCTTATAGACAACCAATTGAAAGGAAGAGATTGATAGATGCTAAAAGGCATTTAGGAAAAAAAAAAAGTGGTAAAGTGAAAAAAAAAACTATGCGGTCACTTCTCTAAAACAATAAAGAAATTCGGACTAATTCGGTAAAGGACAGTGTCCTTTACACTACCGACAAAAATGAAAAGCGACAAGTCCATCAAGCATGTATGGTGTCCTGCATTTTCTCTGGGAAGACACTGGACTTCACGCCGGAAGTTGAGTTCAAGCGAACTTCAAGTACTTAGGAAGCTCTTCGGTGTCTCTGAATTGAAACCCTCGTTTCTCCTCCAAACGAGGGGGTCTAGACCTGAGTTCAGATCAAAATTCTAAAAGAATCCACCAATGTTTCTCCAATGCCAGCCTTCAAGGCACACCCATCTCCCACGGATGAGGATCTAGAGAATGACAAATTGGCCGAAAAACTTGTCCTGCAGGTCTCCAATCCAGGCTAAGACCGTTTTGGCGACCGGACCTCCCGCCGGGCCCCAGATGCGATTCCCAAGACCCAAGAAGAGGGCCAAATGGTTGCCGCTCCATAGCTCCGTGAGGTGGCGCTTAGAGTTCTTGAATTTTTTTTTAAGGTTTTTATGTATTTATGCATACAGAACTGGGGTACAGGCCAGAGGTGCAGGAACAGTGAAAGGATTCACCAGAGACAGAGTGGGGAGCAGAACAAGGCCGACTGATGAAGTACACTGCTGAGGGGAGCAGCGGCGGGTCAGGAGACGTCTGCCGCGCCATGTGGGTCACCTCCAGGATCGAACTCATACTGAAGTGACTTTAGCTTCGTTAGTGCTGTGCTTTAACCCCCTGCGCCACCAGGAAAGGCCCGAGTTCTTGAATTTTTTATTAGTGGTCTGTAATGATTTCCAACAGCGCGTTCAGAGTAACCTCAAGAGCTGCAGGAACCATGGCAACTGGCGTGGTCTGGGGCGGAAGGGGCGGCCCGGGCGTGGCGGACCCCACCCCTTCCGGGAGTCAGTGTAGCGGCGGGAAAAACAAACCGCTGGGTCGTGTTCTGCGGGTCCTGGAGGGCAGCTCTTCGCGCCCGCCAGAATGGACGAGCAATCCGAAGATCAGGCAGTCTCGGAGCCCGCGGACTCCGGTGCGGAAGGCGGTCCTCCGCAGGCTCCCGGCGCCCAAGAGACGTCCCCTGAGGACCGTGTGACCCTGCTTCTCAGGTTGTTCCCTATGGCCCGCAGGGCGGAGGCCGAGTGGGCGTGGTGGTTCAGCTCTGCCCTTTGGTTATCCGGTGTCTGAATTCTGACTGGGTCTCTTGGTAGCTGTGTGACGGCATCATTCACTCCGTCGACGTAAGACCCATCAAAACGGAGAGGAAAATGACACCTCGCAGAGGCGTTATGGGAATTAAATGAATTCTTTGGGACTGCCGTTTAGCATAGGAGTCTTCGGATCTGTAAGCTACCTGTCCTTTCCCTCTTTTGTCCCGGGATGCGGATTGTGAAACTCGTTTTGGGGTGTCTCCGAGCCCCGAGCTACACAAGGGACATCACCTTGCCCCCTTTCTCTGAGAGCTTCGACCCTTTTCAGTGCAGAAGTGTGATGGGTATTAATGAAAATATTCATATTTTCCTATCGAGCCTGCAATGTTTACATCTGTTCACTAAGCAGTTCCTGGGGAAGATTTGATAGAGAATGTCAGTCTTATGAACCTGTAAACAGAGAGACCACTGGCTAAAATCCATCCTGTCCCTTTTTTTGTATGGCCCCTCAAGCTAAGGATAGTTTTCGTGTCTTTTAAGTTCTTGGGAGGGGGAGTAGAACTACAAAAATATTTAATGAAATGAAATTCAAATTTCACTATCCTTAAAGTTTTATTGGAACACAACTTTTCCTGATACAAGGGCACTGTTGAGTGATTACAACTGACACTGTATGACTAATGAAGCCTAAAGTATTTCCTATCTGCTCCTTTGCAGAAAAAATTTGCAACCTTACCATCTAAGTCTTATGGGGAAAAAATTAGGGCTGGGAGACATAAGCCTTACAGCCATATTTTAGCTTTACTACTGCTTTAGAAGGTCTTGACTAGTAATAAACTTTACCACCTCCTTTTAAAAAATTCTGTTGTGGGCCGACCTAGGGGCTCAGGGATTAAAGTCAGCACTGTGGAGCTATCTGCAGCCACTGCAGCACAAGTTTGAACCCCTGCCAGGGAGCTAGCTAACCACATGGCGCAGCTGCTCCCGTCAGCAGTGTTTTTCAGTAGACTTTCCTGTTATGCTACCTGCTGGCTCTCTCTGGTGAATCCTCGTGCCCCCCACACCTCTGCCCTACACCCCAGTTCTTATATGCATAAATAAATAAATCTTTTAAAAAATAAAATTTTGAAAAAAATAAATAAAATTTTGTTCTACCTGCAATATGAAATACTAAAATATTAAAGACCTAAGATTCCAATTTTCATCTCTGCCTGGAAGAAAATATTCTTTCACTTGATTTGTTTGTCTACTTAACCTTTTCTTTTAATTTAAAATTTTGAAACAAGGAACTGGCCATGGAGCTTTAAGAAACTTGTTCAGTGTTTCTTAGCTACTTAAATAGGACTAAAAAAAGTTTCAGAATTATGAAACTGCCATGTAAGTTGGAAGTATATCATAAATACAATTTAATGACTAATTGCCACTTTACCCATAGTTTTTCTTCTTTTTTTATGTATGATTTTGGAGTCAATATAATCGTAGGACAATTGCTTATCTACCCAGGGAATAGAGAATCTAACACATTTACAGTGTTTGCAGGTTTCACCATTTTGATTTATTTAAGTTTTAATGGAGGCCCATTTGGTGTGGCCCATTAAGAATAAACTGAAAATCACATTTTTAATTTTTCATAGATACTGTTTTTCCTCATGATATTTCTTTCTTTTTTAAAGATTTATTTATTTATGCATATAATACTGGGGTACAGGTGAGAGATGTGGGGGGTGGAGGACTCACCAGAGACAGAGTGGGGAGCAGAACAGGCAGATTTATTGAAATACACTGCTGAGGGAAGCAGTGGGCAGGCCAGGAGAGGTCTGCATGCCATGTGGGTCACCTCCCTGGCCGGGGATCAAACTCAGTTCTGCAGTAGCTGTGATAGCTTTTTAGTGCTGAGCTTTAACCTGTTGTGCAACAAGGAAGGTCTATTTTTCCCCACAATATTTCACTCTGTGCTTCCTCTAAATACTTAAAACTTTTTTATTTTAAGTAAAATGAGCTCAAAGTGAAAGCCTTTAATGTTGAGTTTACTTGTACTCATTTAGTTGCACCTGCTTCCATAAAAATGTTAGTTTATTGTGTAGTGGTGAATAAGACCTCAGTAAATATATGACTTTTCCTTTTTTTCAGGCTAAGAACACAGACAAAACAACAACTCTTGGAATATAAATCAATGGTTGATGCAAGTAAGTATTTTCATTTTCAGATAAGGTTGTATAAATTTGATGAGTTCCTATAGGGAAAAAAAGCCTTATAGAATTTTGATTAAGATTTTATTAGGGCCTGTAGGTTAATATGAGAAAATTATTATATTAGCAGTATTGATGGTTCAATACATCTACATGGTGTATCTTTCCATTTCATTATTTGGAAGTTTTCAGTGTAGCAATCATATACTTAATTTGTCAGCTTTACCCTTGAGTATTTCATGGTTTTAGATGCACTTGTACATGGTATTTAATTTTTTTTGTCTTAATTTCTATTATACAGACATTTAACTTTTTACACCCATTTATCTCCTCCGAAAATTGCCTTATCCAATATGAGAGATACTGGTTCCATGTGACTATTGAACTCTTGAAATCTAATTAGTCCTCATTGGAAGAGCTTTAAATGTAAAATACACATATTAGAAATTATGAAATATTTCATTAGTAATTTTAAATTAACTATATGTCAAAATGATACTATTTTGGGTCTGTTGTTTTAAATAAGGTATATTAAAATTTTCTTCAGTTGTTTCGTAATGTGAAAACTAAATGCAAATTTTTGATTTGCATTAATGGCTTAAATTTTATTTCTGTTTGAATTTGTTGTAAACTGTTACTAAATTGGAAAAAAAAACTTTATTTTTAGATGAAGAAAAAACTCCAGAACAAATCATGCAAGAAAAACAAATCGAAGAGTATGTTATTTTTGTTTTATTTGAAGTAATCACTAAGATATATTGCCCCTCTTGTAACATTGCTTTTCTTTTTTGTTTCCTTTGTTTTTCTAAATAATTTGTCATGCATCTGTTGAGAAGTTGTTAGTATGAAATGTATTCTTACATATATGTAATGACTATATTAGCACTTTCTGGCATCTCCCTTTTCAAGAAATTTAAAGTACATCTTAGAAGGTACTAGTTTACCAAAGGTTTACTGTATACAATTCAGTAATATTTTTTATGATGTTATTGAAATTCTTTTGTCCACTTTTTGATAGGAAAATTCAAGACCTGGAAAATGAAATTGAAAAGGTGAAAGTAGCTTTTGAAGTGAAAAAACTTGCATTGGACAGGTAGTTACTGCACTTTAAATATAAGCTCTGTGAATTGAATGCAAAATGGGTATAGTTATGTATGGAGGGGTCATTTTATTTTTTTGGTTTTTTTTTTAAGCTTTATTTATGCATGTAAGAACTGGGGTACAAGGCAGAGGTGCAGGGGGTGAGAGGAGTCACCAGAGACATAGAACAGGAACACAGAACAGGGGAACAGGAAAATTGACCAAAGTACACTGACTGAGGGGAGGAGGGGGCAGGAGAGGTCTGCTGCACCATGTGGGTCACTTTCCTGGCAGGGGATCAAACCCATGCTGCAGTGGCTGTGGATTGCTTCACAGTATTATGCTTTAACTGCTTGTGCCACCAGAGAGGCCCCTGGGAGAGTTATTTTAACTGGTCCCAATGAAATAATCAAGAGGAATGCTGATTAAATAATACACAAATTTTGAGCTCTGAGAGGCAAATTATGTCTTTCATTACTATCTTCATTTGATGAAGTTACATAATACAAAGGAAATGTCGATCAATGTCAATAAGCACATATATAAGATTAAATCCCATTTAGTAGCTGAAAGGATTACATGGCTTCATTTATCTAGCTACTGTTAATCATGTAAAAGAATTGTCCTTTGAGTTTAAATATATTTTTAATTATAGGTTTTGCATATATATTTGGATATTCAGTCAACAAAATTGTTCATTATCCTGAGTTTTGTGTTAGGTTCAGGTACATAACTTAATAATATGAACATGTGTTATAGTCTTGTGGTCTGAATAATCTCAAGAAACTAAATGACTTGTGATTGCTTCCTTGTATTTCTGGGTTCTCCAAATGAATTTCTTCATACATTTAGTTGAAAAGTAGCTAAAGCCCTTTTAATTGCTTGAACAGGTAAACTTTTCCCCCTTATTTCATGCTGTGTCATTTTCTATTGACAGATCATATTTTTTAACTCAGATGATGTTAGAGCTATAAAGATACTTCCTCTTCATGAATTGAATTTTATTTGCCTTTTTACTATTGTTAGCTTTTTAATTTAAAAGTAATTTATGTTTGTTTTTCTATAGGTGTAGTTTAAAGTTTACAGTCAGCTGTGACTTTGTATTAGCTAGCTTTTCCCATTTGAAGCCTATGTTGATCTCTGTAATGTCTGAAAGCTTCCTCCCAGTCCTGTACCAAAGTAGATATTTAGAGATCATAGATCAGACTATTTTAAGTCTGCTCAGCCTCTCAGCCTGGCCATGGACAGTCCATCCATCTTGATATTATTTTATATTTCTATGATTCATTTATGAAAGTATTGCCAATACAATGCTGCTTAAAAATGTATTTATGTTTTATGTTACAGTTAAAGGGAAATTAAGTTCCCCTCTCCAACCCCTGTAGTGCAATGGGTTAAAGCATAGTACTGTGAAGCTAATCACAGCTGCTTCAGTACGAGTTCAATCCCCAGCCAGGGAAGTGACCTATATAGCATGGCAGACCTCTTCTGCCTCACCTATTGCTCCTCTCAGCCTCACCCGCCTACAACTCTGACCTGAACCCCAGTTCTGTATGGATAAATAAATAAATCTTTTTTTTTTTTTAAAGTGGAAATCATGGTGGATGCTTAGCCAAATTTAGTGATCATTTTGCAATGTATACATATATTGAATCATTGTTTATTAAAACTACAGTAATATATATCAGTTGTATCTCAAAGTCAAAAAAGAAATAACAGTTTTTAACTTGTCATATCCTTTTTTTTTAATGTACCATCAATGTTATCTATATTTTATAATGAAAGTTTTTTCCTTCTCATAGGATGCAACTTTCAACTGCACTTAAAAAATATCTGGAGAAGGTTGACACCAAGAGAAGGTATGTTTCATTGTTTTGTCTTTTTTTTTTTCTGGATTTCGTAAGGTGGCATCTGCACTTTAAGTTTGTGGGGGGTTTTGTTGTTGTTGTTTTTTAAATTAACCACCATTGCCAACACCTTCACATAGGGAATAAGAAAAGTGATAGAATTTCTTTTGCACTGTACTGTCTTTTATAGTCCCAGTGACATTTGTTCCTTATGGATTTCAACCCTAGAAAGCAATGGAGGTGTTACTCTGACAATCTGAACATTTCGAGGGTAGGTTTTGAAAACTTTCAGTATTTTTACTGTTAAAAAGGAGCAGTGCTATCTCATTTAATACAACACCACAATGAGAATGGAAGTACACTTTTCCTTTTTCACTGTCAGAAGTGAGCTTGTATGGGTTTAACAGTTTGCCAGGAAATACAAAATAAAGATTCTCGCTATCAAGTTTGTCATTTCCTACTAAGTAGCTGCCTTGTCTGTGATCTTTTCTCCCAAAACCCAAAATGTTGTGATAGAAAATCCCCTCCCCTTAGCACCACATTACCAAGATAGATCTGGCAGTTCTCTCAGGGTATCTTTGACCAACAGGTATGCATTCTCTCCATATTCCATTTAACTCCCAAATTAAACAAACCCTAAAATATGAATTTGGATGCTTTGTTGCTCTTTTATTAAAGGAAAAGCTGAAAACATTGTTGAGTTAATAGAATATAGGCCAGATACATTACATTGATACCCAAAGACAACAGAAAGTTCAAGTAGGGTGTGGCAGTGTCTTTAATGTGTTTTTAAGTTTAGCTGTAACTAGTAAAAATGAGTTTCATTTCTCCCAGATTTGTTCAGGGTCCCCCCTCGTCAAGTCTCACCTATAAACTGCTGTAATGCGTTTCACGTCTGGCTGATGATCAGGATAATTAGTGTTACCACCATGATCACATTGCTGCTGTGATTCCCCAATTACTAACTCAGAATCTCTGAAGAAAGAGAAGAGGGATTCGACTACTCACATTTTTTCACTTTTACTCTAGGCACGCCAGACTACTTGATCTAGCTCATGGCTTCAAATGCTTTAGAACTTAGGGGTTTCTCTTGATTCTACCCCATGCACAGCTCTTACAGTAATTTGTATTCATTACTAATTATAATGAACCAACTATGGTTGTAGATTTGTTTTTCTCCTGTACCAGAATCTTTCCTCTTTGAAAAGAGGTACTATGTTTTGTTTTATTTTACATTCCTGGGGCCTGGCACAATTCTTAGCATACTGTATGTGCTCAGAATATTTTTTAAATAAATGGGGATAGGAAGTAGCTTATTTAGTGAAATTTCTTTATGATACTATAAGGGTAGTGTAATTACACCAAGAGTAAATCCTAATGTGAACTGTGAACTATGGACTTTGGATGGTAATTATGTTCAGATGTAGTAGGTTTACGACTTGTAACAAGTGGACCACTCTGGCATGGAATGTTGATAGTGGGGAAGATTGTGCAGTTGGGGGATTGTGGGAACAGAGTATGAATTTACCTTGCACTCAAATTTACTGTGAACCTAGCACTGTTCTGAAAGATAAGGTCTATTTCAAGAATAAAGGGCAATTTAGCAAGTTAGAGTTTTTCTGTCCTAAATAAGAGATTTGTATTAAATGTTCCTGTATGTTTAAGTTTTATATTTTTTGTTATCGGTGACCAAAAACTTCTAGGAAAAGGCATGTCTAGTTTTGTTGTTTTTTTCTTAATATTTATTTATGAATACAGAACTTGGGTATAGTCCAGAGGAGCACCAGAGACAGAGTGGGGAGCAGAACAGGCAGATCAACGAGTACACTGCTGAGGGGAGAGGTGGGTGGGTCAGGAGAGGTCTGTTGTGCCTTGCGGGTCACCTCCCTCGCCACTGAACTCACCCTAAAGCAGCTGTGGCTAGCTTGCAGTGCTGCTTTAACCCTCTGTGCCACCAGGGCCAAGTCTAGTTTTAAACAAAATTAGGTTTCATCAAACTTTTCTAGCTTTATTTTGTTAAATGATGACTATCGAAGTGTACACTGGATATAGTGAAAGTAAATATATGCTAATTGATTCATTCATTAATGAAATTTTTTTAAGTAGGACTAATAAACTTTTTAAAATTCTTTTTCAGTGTGCTCATAGATAACATGAAACACATATTAAAGCTAAATAATTTAATAATGAAATCACAGCAGGTAAGTACGCATGTTAGGTTGCCTTTGTGTTCTCATGATTTCAGTAATAATTTATTGATTAAATGGAATCTCCCAAAGGGCCTTCTCGGATTGGAATTTACTGTCCTTCAGTTTTCATTTTTTATAACTCTATTACTTCTGACCAAATAAGCATTACTAATTACTAAGCTATTGTTCTCTCCCTGTTATTATTTGGAAATAGAAGTTAAAGATTGCAACTTTAGAAAACACATATACATAAAGTTCAGTGATAAGTATCCTAGGTTTGTGCTTTATTTAACCTTTACATTTCTAATAACAGGAATCTTGGAATTTGGAGGAAAAACTTCTTGATGTTAGAAAGAAGAGGTTACGTATGTAGAGCACTGTTTTTCTAATACAATACATTTTCACTTACACTGGAATCGATAAGACCAGATCTCTCAGCCATTTGGAATTATTTTTTCTTTCATAAAGAATTTAACTTCTATTGTTATGCAAGTCTTTTCTTAAGGATAGAAATTTCTTTATTCTCAGATTTTCTTAAAATTTTGTACATGGCAGTTTTTTCCCCAAAACTATTGACTTATCAGTTATTTACACAACTATATAATTCTGAGAGTCTAACTTCACACCTCGATATGTACACCTGCTTCACTCCCTCCCACCCAAAGCTCCGGGGGGCGTGGCAATTTAAAAAGTATATTAAATACATTTTATTTGACTTATTTTTGTTGTTTTAGACCTCCAAATTACAAATACATTCTCAGTGGGGAAAAGTTAATTGATAGAGAAAAGTATAATATAAAAGTCATGCCTCTTTTTGTGTGGCCAAAGTTAGGTGTATCGTTCCAGGCTGTTTTCTATGTCCATATAAGCACATTTATAGATGTATGAGTTTTAAATGATCAATTGATATATGTGTTTCTGTGCTTTTTAACTTAATGAACATGAGCTTATTGAAATATTTATTTCAAAAGTGATAACATTCTCAGTGGAATATTTGGAGAAAGTGTACTTATGAAAAGTTAAATTTTTTATTTTACCATAAAGAGATAATTAGTGCTTAATTTGGATAAAGGAAAACTGGTCTTATTTTATTTTGTTCTGCAAACTGCTTTTTTCATTTATCAGTATTAACTGATTAACTGATTTCAAATATACAGATTTGCCTACGAGGTAACCGCAAAGTCTGAAATAGTCTTGGCCATCTAATATAATCACCATTTATTTTCATTTTTTTCCCTCAAATTTCATTTGTCAATTATTTACATCACTATTAATTAGAAGTTTAATTTTTTCATTACATCCCAACATTAATGTTAAGGAATCAAACTCTTCAGACATATTCATTTACAATTTTCAAATACTCTTAATTCTTAAATGTTTTGGGAAATAAAAGTGCTGCTCTTTATTCCAGGAGAATGGAATCTTTTTATTGAAAATGTATCTTGTCTGGTATATCAGTTTTTCTTTTTTTTAAAATAAAGGAGAGGAAGTATTATAAAGGAAAATAAAGTATTACTTTATATTTATATCTTGGCAGCCCAGAGTATGCGCGCCTTGGCATCATACTATTTCAAACATTTGTAGATTGCTGTCATTGTCACACATGCATACCTTGAATATTTCACCAAGGGTACTGCTATGTAGAAAATTTAAATGTTGGATTTTGCACTCGGAAAGTTACCTTTCATATCAAAATGAAAACAACCTAAAATGCTACTCATTAAAAATTTTTCTTCACTGAAATAACCAGAACTATTATTCTGCTTCATAATTTCTCAGGATGCTTGTTTATAAAATATTTATAATAAATTGTTTTATTTTTAACTGAATAGAATTAAAACAAGCCTCAGAAAGTAAGCTTTTAGAAATACGGACTGAAAAGAACAAACAGAAAGATGATTTGGACAGTATGGAAAGTTCAGACAACATAAAGATCCTACAACAAAAACTACAGATGGAGATACAAATAACTACAGTTATTCAACATGTGTTTCAGGTAAAACTTACATAAACTTTTTAAATGGTAGATTTCATTACATTATTGACTTCCAGTTTTTGATCTTGCCAACATAACTGAATATTGTAGTTTTGACATATATGGGATTTATCTATCTTTTAATACTTAAGTCTTTGATTTTTCATTATGGTTATACCTTAAGCATTTATATATAAATGGAAAGATTTTAGCAGCTTTGGGGAAGTAGAATGATACAGTGTACAGAGCATTAGACTCCAAATTAGGAGTTGGGGGAAGACATGGGTAATGCAATAGGAAGATGATTTTAAGATTCTGACTGCTACTTTACTAGTTGCTAAATTTTGATCAAATTATTTAATTTTTCTAAGCATCAGTTTCCTTATTTAGAAAGAGTGTTTATGAAAGCTAAAGAAAGTAATTCATGCTAATGGAGCATGGTGTCTGGTTTGAGTAAATTCTCAATAAGTAGTGCAGTTATGTTATGTCAGTTTTAAAGTTTTGTTAATTTGAGGCTTTGTTTATTTTGCATTTTGAAAGGATGAGTTTGTTTTTTAGGAAAAAGAGAAGGAAAAGAGAGCCACTGGCATAGTCAAGCAATCAGCGAGCTCCCCAGTTTTTAAGTTTTATATATTTCTTCTGGTGGTTGCTTTAAAATTACAAAATATCTCTGGATCTATTGAGATGAAATATCTAAATTGCCATTGTTCAGTTATGAAAATCCATGGTTCAGCACTGCCTGTTATATGTAAAACAAATGCCTACTCTATGTAAAGCATATCCTGACAGAATGTGCCACTATATGTTCTCACCTTAAGAAATTCTTCCCAGATTTTACACCTACGTTTTTCATAGCAATTGGTAATTCCATTAGGGATGAACAGATTCCTGGTCTCCTAGTCTAACCTCAACTGGAAGATTGTATCATAAATATAGAATCATTTTAACTTTTTTTGAGACACTTTTTCTTTCATACTGCTTTCACAATTGTGCTTTCACAATTGAGCTTAATTTTAATTCATATCTAAATGATTGTTAATTCTGAGTCAGTGAGCTCCTTGCTTTGTTAAGCAGGACACTGTTTTGGTCTGTTTTAGGAATCTCTGTCCTTAAGTTCACCTAGAGGGCTTAGTCATGTTTGAATGTGTACGTCCAACTGTCTTTGTAAATTTGACTAGATTTACAAACATTATCCCTTTCATACACTTATAACAGTGTGCCTTATACAGGCCAAAGTTTTTAATATTTTTTAGATAACAATTTAACACTTCAAATCCTTTTTCAGTAGCATTTCAAGTAGTAACTCTATATCTTGAGCTATAGATTTTCAAAGAATGACCAGAATTTTCTTTAATTATGATTCTAAGCATTCCTCCATTGTCTAGAAAAATATTCCAGTTATTTTTCAGGGTCTTAAAATCTGCAAGAACTGAGAATGAAATTTTTGCTTATTCTTAAAATAGGACTTGATATTTACTCTTATGTTACTGGTTTTTAATCATGGAGATATGAATTCTTGACCATAGCTAGTCTTTTTCCTTTAATATAGGATGCACTGAAAATATCTGGAATAGGTAAAAATTATCCACAAAATCTCACAAAGCATTAAAAAACTTGTAAATAAGGGTTACCAGAAGGGAAGGTGGGTAAGTCATAATTGTATTATAGATGGAATCTAGATTTTTGGTAGTGTATATATATGCAGATGTTAAATTATAATGTTGGTAAATATTCCCTGACATTGTGAGGATCAAGACTAAAGCTTCACAGAAAATATAAATGAAAATAATTAATTACTTTTTCTCCTGATCACTATAAATGTGCATATCTAGTAAATGTTTGATAAAATTAATAGACAAAGGTTTTTTTATCATGTTAAGTTCTAGAAAGTGCTTATAACTTTAAACTTTTCTTTTAATTATAGAACCTCATTTTGGGGAGTAAAGCCAACTGGGCAGAGGATTCTGCTCTTAAGGAAATTGTTCTGCAACTTGAGAAGAATCTCACCATGATCTAATAAGAATTCTCTTTTGGCATTTTTGTTTTTTGATACTTCATTTAAAAAGCAAATTTCAGTTGAAGTATATTTTCAATATTTTTGAAGCTATTCTAATATTGCAAATTTTTTTTTAATAGTTTAACACTACAACTTGGCCTCTATTATTTTAAATGTAACCATTAAAATGACTGGCAAACTCCTAAAAGAATCTGAAAATAATAGCCTAAAATACATCTCTACCAGCTTTCAACTGTATATAGATGTTTTTCCTACAATACTGCTGGTAATAAGAATATTCTTTGGGATACCTATGTGGGTTTGTTTGTCAGCCAAAACATTAGAAAAGTATATCCACTTCTTTGAACAGAGACCCAAATAAAGCATCTCAACCTTGAAAAAGAGAAAGAACTGCACATCTGAAATATTAACAGTTAAATTAGGGGGATTGTGGCTTTTCTGTATTTCTATATTTAGTATGTTTTACTTCTGTAAGCTAGAATATAAAAAGATGTTACTCTTGTCTTTTTTACAAAATAAAACTTACCACCTTTTATAGCATCCTATGTCATTTTTAAAAGCTGTAATTTGAGCTTTACTAATTTGGAACTGTTGTGACTACTTTTGCAATGTATTTTTAAGTGTGCTTTTTGTAAGACCTTTAAATTTGAAAAGATATACTGTAGCAAAAATAGCATTTGAAATTTGTTCTCTTGATCAATTAAAAAAGGTAAGATTTAATCTAAACATTCTTTGTAATAGTTTTACTTAATTTGATAAATCATAATTTATGTAGTTTTATTCTTTTTGCTACATATTCTTGGAAATTGAATAATTGTAAGACAAGTTATTTTTCTTTTAGAAAAACATTCTTGGGCCTTCCTGGTGTCCTAGGGTTTAAGTCTCAGCGCAGTCACTACAAAGGCCTGAGTTCAATCCCCAACCAGGGAGCTAACCCATCCATATACCGTGCAGGAAACAACTTTTGTCTCACTCCACTGCTCCCCTTCATAGTATATTTCAGTAAATATACCTGTTCTGCTCCCTACTCTGTCTCTGGTAAATTTTTTTCACACACATGCCCCTTCCTCTGTCTCCCCACCTACTTACATTCCAGTTCTTCTATTCAATTAAAAAAAAGAAGAAAAGGAAAGCCATCTTTAAAATATCTTCTTAGTCTATAGATCTAGCATAAAGTAATCATACTGATAGATGTGCAATTTATCAATGTGTCCTAATCCCATGGGTTTTTAGCAACATCTGAAAAGCTTTTTGCACTCAAAGGATAATTTTATTATCCTTTGAATCTCCATTTAAGGCTCAATGCTAAGAGAGAAATTGTTATCGGTCAGCTTTTCCTAAAATTGTGTTGAATAATCTCTAAATCTTAGTGGCTTATGGCAGCTGCTACTTTCTTAGATCCATTCTTTGATTAATCATTCTGGGCTCCAGACTGAGCAGCCACTACCTGAAACAATGTCTCATAGCTTATGAGATCAAATCAAATTATACAAGCACAGTTAAAATTTCTACTCAGAGGAGATATGTATAATTTCTACCCAGGTTCCATTGCAGGAGCCCAGCATCAGTAGGATGGGAAAAGTGTAGTCTTGCAATAAGTCCTGGGTTTCAGAGTAGAGGGAAGTCTTTTCAGATATTTGCTGAAAGAATATAGAGCATGGTGATCTGAGATAAGCACTTTGAGGGTCTTAACTTTTTGCTGAGTGCCTGGTATGCAACTTAGCTCCTGGGATGACTCTTGCTTCAAGTTAGACCATGCATGTACCACCATGAGGCAGAATGGACCCTGGGGGGTCCCATGACAACTGACGCATTACTCCTTTGTATGCAACTATACAGTTCATCTCTTGGTATGTAGCCACATCATAGATGACCAAGCTGCCAATGCAAACCTCTCCAGAGCCTTGTAGAAACTAAAAGTGTATATAAGCCCCCGACTTTCTACAAACCGGGTTCAGGGTTTTAATGCAAATCTGCTGAGTTAGCACTGTTGCAATGAACCTGGCTTCTTAGCCCTGGTGTCTAAGTTTCCTTTGTACTATATAACAAGTACACAGTATAACAGGCCTATCTTGGTCTTAAACATTAACTAGCTTTTTACAGGTAAAATACACACTCCTACCCCAGGAAGATAAGTGACCAGTATGATCCAACTCTAGCAGTTTCAAGGTTCAGGTTATATAGTCTTTCATATCATATCCAAAAGTGCTGCAGTGGCTGTGAACAACTTCATAATGCTGCACTTTAACCCACTGCACCACCAGATAGGGCCCTCTGAAAGCTTTTTAATAAATAGATCTTTGGCCATCTTCACAGATACACTTAATATTTGGGCTCGTAATTTATATATTCGTTTAATTGTAATACAGGTTTATTATTTTTAAAATATATTTTATTTATGCATACATGTATTAGGGTATAGCTCAGAGGTGCGGGGAGGGTGTGTGTGAGAGGATTCACCAGAAATAGTGGGGAAAACAGGAAGGTCTACTGAAATACACTGCTGAGGAGAGCAGCAGGCAAGAAAAGGTCTGCTGTACTCTGCACTATGTGGGTCACCTCCCTGGCCAGGGGAGGAACTCTGGCAGCAGCAATGTGATAGTGCTAAGACTTAACCCATGTGCCACCAGGGAGGCCCCTCGTAATTTGTATTTATAAAAAGCGCTCAGATTTAGAAACCATGAGGTAGATCTTCAAAACAAATGTGTCATTTTAAATACATTCATTACCATAAAGAAGTGCTAAATGCCCATAACATTGTATATTAAGAATTGTAACAATATCTAATATCTACTACATAGTTTAACTTTGTATGAATAATATGGGTTGTTTGCTTCAAAGAGAAAAACGAACTTTTCAGTTTTCCAACTGGAAGCAGTCAGTTCAACATCAGAACTAACAGAGAAAACACAAGAGTAAGAGGAAACTGCTATAATTGACCGCTCTGAGCTTACTGCTAACACCCAACAGTATTTTTGTTTTTTAAAAGATTTTTTAATTTATGCATACAAGAACTGGGGTGTAGGCCAGAGGTTGGGTGGTTGTGTGTGTGTCTGAGAGGATTCACCAGAGACAGATTGGGAAGCAGAATAGGCAGATCTACTGAAATACTCTGCCAGACTTGGGGCCAGACCTAGAGAGGTCTGCTGCACCTCGTGGGTGGGTCAGTTCCCTGGCTGGATAGAACTCAGGCTGCAATGGCTGGCGAGAGTTTGATAGCGCTGACACTTCACCTCTGGGCCATCTGAGACCCAACTCCCAAGTTTTAACAAGATTTTAAATTTGAGGAAGCACAGGAGTTTGTATTATTTGGTTTCAGATCAAATCTTGGAACACAATGAACCTAGAAACTGCCTATCAGAAGACGAGATGGCCGGAAGCTGAGGTGTAAAATATACCAACACCCCAAAACTGGGCAAACTAACAGCGGGAGATTGGCCAGTGCTTCTTGGGCGGGATGTGGGGCGGGGCGAATGAGCCACAGGGGGCGGGGCTCGCTGCACAGTGGGAGGAGGGTCCTACGGGGCGGCCACTCGCTCCTCCTCCGTGACGTCACGCAAAGAGTTCGCCTTCTGCCACCCAGGACTTCGATTCTCGCTGCGGCACGCGCGCGCCCCGGAAGCTGCCCCGACTTGGGGGTCATGATGGGCAGCAAAATGGCGTCCGCCAGCAGGGTCGTTCAGGTAAAGAGATTCGATCGCCTTCCCCTTAGGTGGGCGGTAGGGATGGTGCCCAGTATGGTAACAACGCTGGGGAAGAATGGCGGTGACGCGACCGCGGCCTCGAGCCGGGCCAGATGCGGTGCCCGGGGGTGTGTGTGAAAATTGGAACTTGAGCGCATTGGGTAGGGCGTTGAGCAGGGAACTGGAGTTGAGGGTTGGGCCCGGCCACGGGAGTACCTCATCTCAGCAGGTAGGCAGGCATACAGCTGCTCCGGGGCCCGGGACTGTCCTCCGCCAAGACCTTAGCTCCCTGCGGAGTCTGCGGACTCGGCTGCCTTGGCAATAGCTTGGCCAATCGTCTTCTGGTATTGTCTGTGATGTGTCTGATCAGCCAATCGGGAGGAAGGCGGTCGCAGAGCGTCAAAGGAAGTAAACCCTACTTCTGACCCAGTGTCCCTTCAAGGACTTGGGAGCAACCCGAGCACTGGGTCCGAAGCCTGCAAATTCGGCCGGAGCTGCTTCTCCCCTACCAGTTCAGATGTCGCTCTACATGGCTGTATGGGGAGAATACTTTAAAAAGATCGTGTTTACGTTTATGTGAAATATGTTTTAATGTCGGTCTCCGAACCCTGTATTTTTGAGTTTAGATAAACTACCCCAAGGAACAAATTTTTAATCCAAACATCAATCGCCAACTATTGACAGATAGTGTATTTGCTTCTCCCACTGGAGTCACCAGCTTAATTAGGAGGGTAAAACTAGTATATAAATGGATATAGATGTACTTGGCATATTTGATCTTTTTCAACGCCACACTCGTTACTGTACGATTAATGTTTATCTTTAATAGGAGTGGTGCATTTTCTTTATACAAGTATGTATCTCAAAAGACCTTTTCTTAATGATAGTCTGAATGATAATTCTAGATCCCAGTCTCTGTCCCATTGCGATGAAAATGATCCTCATTTATTCAGTGTGTAGTTTAGTTACTGAGCATTAATTAACTAGTTAAAGATTTTGTGAACACAGTAACTTCTAACAAACCATTGTATCCACAATACATAACCCAATTTAATAGCCCAGTGGTATATATGTATATATATGTAATAATTATATGTATGGTCCAATTAAAAATATAAATAGCCCAATTTAAAAATTGGTAAGTAGGTTTTAAAAATTGGTAATGCATTAAAAAATTCAAATTCATCTGTAAACCTTTGAAAAGATACTTACCAGGAAAATACAAATTAAAACTAGGAGGTACAATTGTACCCACCATTATTATTAAAATTAAAAAGACTGTCAATACCAAATGATGAGAATGTGAAGCACCAAGACCCTCATAAAAGTACAGCCATATGGAAAACTTCTGTCAGTCTTCAGGTAGGTATAGAAACCTACCTAGTAATCTGACCCTTCTACTCAGTTTCCCAAAGGAAAACAATGCACTTAAGACTTAACAAAATGTATATAGCTGCTTTATTGCTAATAACCCCCTAACCAGATACATCCAAAATATAAAATTGTGGTAAAATTTTAAAATGAAAATACTACACATAGTAATAAAGAACTAAATGCTAATATATGAAAGAATAAAGAATATGAGTTATATAATAAAAACTCTCCTAAGATGCAAAACCGATACATACATATTCATAATATTGTTAACAATATTGCTAACATATAATAATTACCTATTATATATTTTTTTAATATTTATTTTTATTTATGCATATAAGATCTGGGGTAAAGGCCAGACAGAGGTGCTTGGGGTGTGGGGTTATGAGAGGATTCACCAGAAACAGAGTGGAGAGCAGAACAGGCAGATCTACTGAAATACACTGCTGAAGGGAGCAGTGGATGAGATAGAAAAGATTTCCTGGGCCATGTGGTATTACCTCCCTGGCTGGATTGAATTCAGGTGGAAGTGGCTGGCCATAGTTTGATAGTGCTGAGACTTAACCCCTGCACCACCGAGGAGGCCCAACTACCTATTATAACATTAGCAGAATGTCTTGAGTACCTTTGTACCAGCCCTGTACTCAGTACTGGGACTGCTTTGCCAATTAGACAGACATGGTGCCTCCACAGAGTAGAGAATTTGGCTGTTGATTAGTACTTTGCAGAAAGAGTAGTATTTCAGGAGACTGGCACAGGAATTTACAAAGCATGGTCTCAACATTAAGTAGAGAATTTTGACTGTGCAAAAGGTTTTTTAGAATTTATTTTACAAGAATAAACCAGTTATTATCTGCTGAATGCCAAGATATATATATATATATATATATATATATATTTGATTGGTTTTGACCATTGTGAGAGCAGAAAGGTGGTATTTTATCATTTATGAAATTTAACTGCATGAGACACAGGACAAGAAGATGGTTGGTTGGATTAATTTGGGGTTTGGGATTTCCTTAGTCTAGCAAAGAATGCAGATAAGACAATATTGAATGTACTGCAGGTTCCAATCTAGATTCAAAAGGAAGCCAGGATGAAACCAATTGATTGTGAGAAAACAGAACAATTTAGGAAATGGGGGACTTGATGAGAAGAGACTTATGGGTTAAAAGTAGTAATGTTAGATTTTAAGTTGAAATTTTAGCCACAGCTCTGAACTTAGTTCAGAATTAAGGATGAAAAAAGAAAACTTTCTGAGCCCTCCCTGGTGGCGCAATGGGTTAGGATGCAGCACTGCAAGCTGGCCGAAGCCACTTCAGTATAAGTTCGAGTTCGATCAAGTTCAATCCCCACCCTGGAGGTGATCCACATGGCACAGCATACCTCTCCTGACCCACCCGCTGCTTCCCTCAGCAGTGTACTTCACTGATCTGCCTGTTCTGCTCCCCACTTTGTCTCTGGTGAAGCCTCTCACCACCCCTGCATCCCTGGCTTGTACCCCAGTTCTGTATCCTCTGGCTTGTACCCAGTTGTGTATGACTACAAAAATAAATCTTTAAAAAGAAAGAAAAAAGAAACTTTCAGAAGTAAACAGTAAGCTAGAAGGAATAGAAAGTAAATAGACAAATCAGAAATTATACTAAAGGAGTGGGTGATGAAAAGAGAAAACTGAGGGGAAATATTAAAGGTATTAAAGGATTAGAGAAAGTAATTAAAGTAGGCAAAGACAAGAAGATGCAGGCTTTGTATTAATCTCTAAAAAAGCAAATGTAACCCATCTCTAAACCTATATGTTTATTAAAACTTCCCTGATAAAAAAAAAGAAAACAAACCAATACTTTGTATTTAAGAGAACTAACATAGTATGGTTGATAAATGGTTATGTTCCAGTGAAACAAGTAGATTTTGAAGAGGAAAAAAATCTTTGGTGACCTAGACAAAAGTAAGCACTTACAAGAGAACAAGTTTTCAGAGTTTTCAATAATAATACTTCATAAAAAAAGAACATGTGTATAAAATAATTTAGGTAGTTAAAGAAAATGTGAGCAAAGATTTATCTAGCTACTCTGATCTTCAAGTACAAAGACCATAAACCTTTAATAAATTTGGGAATATTGTTCTCTGGAGCCCTTCTTCTAGATAGATATCCTAGAGAAAAAGCTTCAGAATAGCTTCTCTGCAGTGTATATGCATTTGTTTAAGTATGTGTACATACATACTTATATGCTTCTACAGTTAGTCCTAACTTAAAAAACAGTCTTCGTTTATTGAGTAAATGTTTGCTGAGCATTTTCTATGTACCAAACACTAATTCATAAATGCTTAATTTTCTGACTTTCCAGGATTTTAGCTCTCCTGTAATTACTGGTTCAATCATTTGCCCACTGTAAAATATTCCTCAGATGTTCAGGATGCCAATGAAACATTAAGACGGAACTTTTTAATCAAATTTTGGAATCAGGGGAACCTGCTTAGAGAGGAATGATACTTGTATTGTTTTTGAAAAATAAGCAGTCAGATAAAAGAGGAGGCATGTAAATGGAGTGGAATTGGAGAGAGATTTCCTGACAATGGACCCAAATTCTAGACAGAACAGGGTTGGAAATGGCATGATGAAACATGGAAATAAAAGGTGCTGCAGAATAGAGTACATAAGACAGTGATGAGGACTGAGGCTGGAAAGGAAGGGAAAGATCAGATCATGATCATAATGGACCTGTAGTTTAAAAAACACTTTTGAAATTGATTCAGAAAACTCTTAAACATTTTAAAAACTAAAATGGGATGAGGACAGTAAGTTAAATGGACATTCTTTTAAAGAAAGTTGACTGTGAAAAGGACCAAGATAGTTACCAGAGAGAGAGAGTTTTGTTTTTTAACATGAAATAGATGAGCATGCTTTTATGCTGAGGTCAAGAACCATATTCTGGTATTTTCTTATGGTAGCAGAATTATAGTGTTTCAGGCAGGTCCCAACAAGCCTATTTATTTCTGTACTCATAAAATGAATAATATGTAGTATATAATATACAAGTATACAGATAGACACACACAGATCTCTAGTTATGAAGTGTCTTTAGAGAATAGTAGTCTGTTGTGTTGTATAGCATCTTAGTATTGTGTATGCTGAAAATCTCATACTGGAAGGTCCACATTACCTGGGATTTTAAGGATTAAATATTCTTCAAATATATGTTATAAAAACATGCTGAAAATACGTACTTCTATGGTATAGGAGAAAAAGGCTAAAATAAAGTACTGTCAGATGTTTTAATCTGTCTTATCTAGCTAGGGTATTTTAATATTCTTTATGCTTTACTTCATATAAAGTTTCCCCCAATATTTTTATATAGGACATATGTCACTTTTGTGTCAGAAAATATATTTTTTAAATGTATAATTTCCTGAAGTTTTTGTAATCTTACTCATTTGCTAAATATTGAGTTAATAGGGGAACAACACTTAAGTCAGGAAACTTCCAATTCTTACCAGTAAGCATAGCAACATATAAGTAATGCAATGTAGATCTACACCATCCTCTTCATAGGTTGTTTTAAGGTCAGTTGATAGTAAATTTCTTGAGATGTATAGTGTACAAGTTATTAAGAATAACAGATAAGCTAAATAGGTTTATAGTTCCTTGACCAGCTTTCCTGTTGGGGAGAATGACATAATAAAATATAAATATTTTATTTTTACTCAGGTGTCTATTTATGAGGTTTAGTAGATGTTTTCAAAAAGTTAATAAGTTATTTCAGCCTTTTTTCATGCATTTTATTTACTTTAGGTAGTCAAGCCACATACTCCATTAATAAGATTCCCAGATAGAAGAGATAATCCAAAACCCAATGGTAAGTGGTACTTTATTTAGATTTTTCAAAAATGTATATGCATATTTATATGAATACTATAGACAGTATTTCTCACTCTAAGCAAGGTAAACTAATGTAGCTGTGATCAAAATGGTATCTTAGATTGCATACAAGTAGAAATTAACTTATTACCTCCATTTTAAAAAGTAGTCATTCAATAGTATATATATATCTGAAACTTGTAATGATGCTGAGTTTCTATAGAGGGACTTTTGTTCTACCTCTTTTTCTGTCTTTTAGAAGAGCCTTTCATACACATTTACAGACATGAAAATAGTAGCCAGTCCTGTATGTATTTCTCTTCCAGCTAACCTTTTCTTTGATTCTCTCCTTTATCTATTCACTTAGTAAATATTTCTTAGATTGCCTTAGTACTTAGCAATCATTGTCTATAAAGCAAAGATTGCAAGGTCTTGTTTTTCCCTTTTTGTCAGATCATTTGTCCCTGTCTTTATTATAATATATATTTAATCTTTTATTCAGGGAAAATTCTAACAAATTTTATATTGACGTTTGTACCTTATTATAATAACTTAAAGAATTAAGATACAGGTGATAAAAATGATAAAGGTATTGAGAAAACTGAAATCTACATGTACAAACTCTTATTCCCCATTCTGTGACATTATATCTAAACTCCACCCTCTGTCAAAACTTACACAGGTTATCAATAATGTTGAATGCCACTATTTAGAAATGTCATTATTTTACAAATTTGTTCAACTTAATAATTCACTCAAGATTACTTATTTTAAAGGAACTTTATGAAAATAGTTACCCAACTAAGTCAACCTGTCATACATACCTTTTAAAATGATACTACTTTTCACTTTAAGAATTAACTAGATTGATTGGCCCTCCCTGGTGGCGCAGCGGGTTAAAGCACAGCACTGAGAATCTAAAGCCGCTTCCGCATTCATTCCGAGTTCAATTCCCTCCTGCCCCGGAGGTGACCACATGGTGTGGCAGGCCTCTCCTGACCCGCCCACTGCTCCCCTCAGCACTGTACTTCATCGATCTACCTGTTCTGCCCCCCACTCTGTCTCTGGTGAATCCTCTCACTGCCCCTGTACCTCTGGCCTGTACCCCAGTTCTGTATGAATAAAAAAATAAATCTTAAAAAAAATTAACTAGATTATTTCAATAATAGATAACGCAAAATAGTCAAGACACTTCAATTTCTCTAATTACTTTTTTTTTTTTCAGTATCAGAAACTTTGGGATCAGCAGGACTACCTTCTCACTCTTCTTCAATTTCACAACATTCTAAAGGAAGTAAATCACCAGATTGGCTAATGTATCAGGGTCCACCAGACACTGCAGAAATAATAAAAACATTACCTCAGAAATATAGAAGGAAACTTGTATCTCAAGAAGAAATGGAATTTATCCAGGTATGCTATTATTTTTTATTATAAAACTGTCTAAAACACCTTAAACATTTTACGTGTTGATCTTAACATTTTACTTGTTGATCTGTATTCTCTACTTATCTTGTCACAGTCTTCAATAAATGTGCAATAAGAATATATATGTAGAATTACAGTATGTTAAATAACAATAGATAAAAACACATAAGAAGAAGCTCTAGGGTCCTCCATAATTTTCAAAATGTAAAGACCAAGAAACTTTTAAATCATTGAGATAGGTCCATCTTAAGTACTTTCCAAAGCTGCAATGATGTTTAATTTATATTGATATGAAAACCAAAATTATTTTTAAAAAATAAAGGTCACTTGCTCAATGGTGTAAATGTGAATAGTACCATGAAAACATTTCTTATATATTTTTATCACCTAATCTTATTGCTTTATTTTTTCCTTTTCAGCGTGGAGGTCCAGAATAATCGCTTAAATGGGGCTGCTGTTTGGCATCAGGCAAATGAATAGTCTTTACAATAAAGGACTTCCAAAATGACAAATGAGAAATTGCATATTAAACAACTTTAATAAATATTCTATAAAAAGGAAAAAAAAAGAAGGAAATATAGAAAATTTAGATGGACACTTGTATCTCCTATTTATGTACCTGGTCAGCTTCTCCACAAGCTTACCTAATTGCTTATATATTATATACTTATTAAAGTATACATTTTTAAATGTTAGCTTATTAATTTACTCTTGATTATCAAGTATTACTAGTGTTGAACTATGAAAAGCACACAAATGTCTAGGAAACTTGTCATAGGTTTCCCAGAATTTCACTTGTAGTTTCTGTCTAGACATAAAAAAAAATTTATTAGGCCGAATTGCTGCTTTTGGGGAATGATTTTCCTAAACAGAGAGGAGGATCATTGAAATAACAACTCAATTATATGTTCTTAATTCTCGTAATCGTTTTCATTCACAAAGCTTCTGAAATAAAACTGGTTTAATAAATATATTTTATGTAAGTGATAAAAATATAGCCAAGGTAAAAAGAGGTAACTTTGTGTTATTAAGACTGAAGAGTTAACAGATAAGAAATGTCAGAAAATAAGAACTCAAAGTGAATATAGCATAAGAGTAAATGTTTAACTAGAAGTTACAACTTAATTATGTTTTGAGACATGTTAATAAGTCTAGTTCTTTGGTTTACCATTTTGATTATGTTGTATGCAAATCCTAATAATCACTAACTTTCTCAAACTTCTAATGTCTGAAACATGCATTAAATCAATCTACATTTTTAGCTTACAAGGCAATTTATGAAACTTTAGTAGGGTCTTCCTGTGCCAAGAGCATGTATTATTGTGAAAGTAAAGTCTTATGAAGCTAATAAGTTCTCTTCCATATGTTTAATTATTTCTAGAATATGCCTTGAAAAAGTCACCCCCTAATAGTAAGAGTAGCTCATGAGCACTAGACAGGGTAGAATTGGTGAGTAGTTTTTATATTTGCCTGCTTCTCTATGGGTTCGTCTTTACCTTAAGCCATTATGGGTTAATTAGTTTTGTTTTTTTTTAAAGATTTATTTATTTATGCATAAATGGGGTACAGGCCAGAGGTGCAGGAGTGGTGAGAGGATTCACCAGAGACAGAGTGGGGAGCAGAACAGGCAGATGGATGAAATACACTGCCAAGGGGAACAGCGGCCAAGACAGGAAAAGTCTTTTGGGCCATGTGGTTCACCTTCCAGGCCAGGGACTGAACTCACACATCTGTGGCTAGCTTCATGGTGTTTTACCGATGTGCCACCAGGGAGGGCCTCTGGGTTAATTAGTTCTATCTTAAGAAAAAGAGTGGATCTGCTTCTTTTGTAAATTCTGTGATGTGGCCTAGTATAAATGTTGCCCAACTCAAGAATGAGGTAGAGGTCTAGTGCTAACAATAAACTATTCTGGTGAGTCATGAAAATTACATGATTCATGACATTTTCTGTTTTTCTCCTTAGCTTTCTCATTTCAGTAACAATTAGTGTAAGGCAATTTTTTTTTTTTCAGTAATAGTGGGATTAGGTAATGAAGATTTAGCTTCAGTAGTACAGTTGGAAACGCCAATACTGGAGAGGTTTATTAGGTCTATTGCTAGGAAAGTCACAAGGAGAGGAAAACACACTTTTACAGAGTTTGTGAGTATTGTTCTGGCAAAAAGTGGGAATTGCTGTGTTAAGATGTTTCCAAGGAGGATGTTACCATAGGAAGAATCCTGGTTAGGTTCAGAGTGAATAGCCTGCATTTTTGCTTAGGGGTTAGGCACGTAAGTATATGTAGCCATTATGAAATTAATTTACTTTGTTCAAGTTTTATTTTCCTTTCTAGTATTATACAGTGTATAGGCAGGATCATGTTAGTGTATTACATTTGTAACAGATCATCCCAAAACCTAGTAGTTAAATGCAGCAATAATCACATAATAGCTATGGTGTCTCTGGGTAAGGAATTATGCAACAGATCGGCTGGCATTTATTTCAGTGACTCATGAGATTGCAATCAAATGCTACCTGGGGCTGCCGTTATCTGAAGGTTTGAAATGGAGCTGGATAATTCACTTGTATCCAAGGTGGCTCACTCACAAGGCTGGATAGTTGATGCTGCTATTCACATGAGACCACAGACATGATGACTGACTTTTCCCAAAGCAGATGCTGCAAGTGTGCAGTGTATAAAAGCACCAAGGCCTTTTATGATCTAACCTCACAAATTACACTCATTCTGTATATTCTCCTATAGAACTCACTATTTCATGGGAAGCAATTATACAAGTGCTTTAATACCAAAAAGGTAAGAACCCTTGGGGCCATCTGGAAAGCTGACTACCTCTGATTCTGAAGTGCTTTGTAAACTGTAAAATGCTACATGCTAAATGGTATTTAGGTTATTATTACAGAGATGTCATTCAAAAGGAGTTTTGACCTAAGTCGTGTGACACTACTTTGAAGAGAGACAGGTGATAAAAACTATGTTTCTAAACAGCAACATGTGAAAATTTTGCCCACGAACAAAATAAAACTTGATAAAGATCCAAGAAGTGACTAAATACTAGTAGAGCCAGTGTTCAAATGCATATAATCTAGATCCAAAGTAAAGTATCCACCTTTACACAATACTTTTAATTCTGCTGTCTTCTTAACCATTCTTCTGAAAATCAGTATTTTCAACGCTTAGAAATACCAAATGGTTAAGCTTAAAATCTTGGAATTTTCTTTCCCACACCCCCCACAACCCAGATGCAATATGTTAGTAAATCCTATTAGCTGGAAGCCAAATTGCTGTCACTGATTAGTCATATTATTTAATACAATAATTTTTTGACTGGCTGTCTAACTTTTTCTTGCCCCTTTAAATCTATTTGTTTCTCATTACAGCATAAAACCTTTTCTAAAAAAATAAGATTATATGGCCAGACAGAACTGCAGTGGCTTTTCAATGATGGCTTTCCTGCATACCCTGTTTAAAATTGCAGACACTTATCTCTATAGCATATATCATTGTGTATCAAGATATATTTTACCTGTGTCAACAGGAGAGAAGCAGCCAGGTTGTGATACAATTCAGATGTATAACCAAGGGGCAGATCCAAAGTGTGTACTGTCAGGGTCAGAACACGGGAGTTTTAAAAGATCAAGGAGGTAAGTAGTATGAGCTTAGGTCATTTGTTGTAAAAGCTTTTAGATTGGTTCTTGACTTCATTTGTCTGTCAGTGATTGGTGGGTACACAATCTTCAGACAAATGGGGGATTTTGCTGGCCTGAACAGATGTCTCCTGTTTGTTGTAGTCTTTGAATTACCTGACCAGCCTGTTTAATTTTCACCTAGAAGTCTTAATATGGCAGCTTAGAGACATGAAGAAGTCTGTTGTAAAGCAGGTTCCACAATTACTGTCCCCTTCCATTGGAAGGCAAGGATCTTTGTCCTTTTTTATGATTCCTCAGTCTACATGAGACTGGCACATAGTAAGCATTTAGTGTGTATTTTTTTAATCGTGCACTTACTTTGTAGATTTGTTTGAAATTTTGTAACACTCGATAAGGTAAGTACTGATCACAGCAATTGAGCACACGGTGTGTCTAAACTTCCTGTATGTCTCTTTGGTCACCACAACCAACTATGATATAGGTTATTATTTCCATTTATAAAGTAGAAAAACTGATGACCAGCACATAATTCTTCAGTGGCCTAGGAGTTTGTTTTCCTGGGAGTACTTCTTAATAAAGAAATTGGACTGAAAATGTCTCATCAGTAGACCTTTAAAAGCTTTGTTTAAGTGAGCCGACATGGAGGATGGGGGAGGAGGTACAGTAACCATAGCAACAAGACTCACCTTAGCAAGCACCTCGAAACTGTATTCATACACACCTATGAAATGTATAACAGAATGTCATATTAGAAGGCTGACTGGACCGCGGTACCGAGGGAATTACCTACGTTAAAGCGGTAACAGGGTGACAGACTCCAACAAATACACTCCGCTTCCGGGTGCCTCGCTTGGTCACGTGACGGGGCGGGACGTGCTCAGACCGTCAACCAACCCTATCTGGAGCAGCTGCTGTGGGGCGGGCGTAGTTTACATCGCCCCGCCCATTCCGGAAGTAGGGGCGAAGCTACTAAAGCGTCACGCCCAGTGAACGGAAGTGGCTGTTAGAGGTTTTACCAAAGCTTTAAATTCCTGCTGTCTGGGAGGCTCATTCCTTTCAACTGGACTCGGGCTTCGTGCACCGGATGGCTGTGGACGTGAAGTCGCGAGCAAAACGTTATGAAAAACTGGACTTTCTCGGGGAGGGACAGGTGAGTCTCGGGCGGGATTCAGAGGGTCCAGAGCGCGGAGCGCCCTGTAGCCTCACCTCGCGTGTTTTCTCGCGAAAGCCAAGAGGGCTGACCTGGCCACTCGTTCTCTTTGAGTACGCCGCCCCTCCACACACCGGAGGGGAGCCTAAGAGGACCTCTCCTTTCTAAAGACAATCGTGGGACAGGACGAGGATTGCCTCACCACGTTTCAGACCGCCGGGAGTCGGCGCCGAGAACCCTGTGTTCTTGGCTTCCTGTAAATCGAAGAGTAACAAACGCTTACAAACTGAAGTTATTCCTGTTTTTCTGTCTAGTTTGCCACGGTTTACAAGGCCAGAGACAAGAACACCAATCAGATTGTCGCCATTAAGAAAGTGAGTTCCAGTTGATCCTTTTTTCCTGTATCTATGAATGTTTGCATCATGAATTGATGGATGGACAGCTGTTGTGCTACCTTTGACCGTCCTGTGATAATAGTGATATGTATTTTCAAACAATTATTTTCTTACGTTCCAAGAGCCAGTTTTTTTTTTTTTTTTGCTACATTCATTGAAGTTGAAGCGAAGAAACTGCTAGATTTGTTTCGTAAACTCGGATATTGGTTAAGTAAGCAAGTACAGTCTCATCTGTTGGGACCTCACAACTATTTAATATCAAGAACTTTGCATTACTTCCTTGCCTGTGACTCTGTGTGGCCTATCTGTATTTGTAGTGAACAGGTTTACCATGAAATCCCTTCACCAGCTTTCACAACGTTGATGTGGTGCATTATTTTAAATTTAGCCAATTCTCTATACGCTGGGCGCTTTATCTCCATTTTGTCACTTAAACCTCAACATAGCCTCGTGAAGAAGTTGAAATTAGTATACCTGTTTTACACTTGAGGTGCCTAAGGCTAAGCAAGATGAGGTGACTTTGTCAAGATGCACAGCTAGTGTTATTAAAGGTAGGCTTTAATTCAGGTGTCCTGCTGCCAGGTTCCTTGCTCTTTCCTGTACTACTGAAGTCAGTATCTCCCAGTAGAGGCTGTTTTTCTCACCTATTTCAGTTCCTTTGGGTGGGTAAATTACCTCCACCTTCCCATAGTTCCTGTTGCTGCTTTGTTTCTCCTTCAAAATCTCTAGCTCCTTCTCATTCACTTACAACTGCCTAGCTCTCTCCTTCTCTGCAAAGATTCCTGCCATTGTTATCTTGCTTACTTTTTCTGACTTCTCTCATGCCCTGGCTTTAGAGCTTCTGTCTATAATCCACCTCTGTAGTTACTGCCTTAAACGTAACCTCACAAAGATAAAGGAGGCATATGTTTTCTAAATACCATTATTTGTGCAGTTAAAAAACAAAAGGGCAAGAATGGTAGGCACTTGTCCCTCTTTTATGTTGTTACTTTTTCCTTTCTGATTCATGATATCCACTTCCTTCATATCCACTAATGCTAGCTACATAGGGGTTTTTACATGTTTGACTGTGGCTAAGTTTTTAAAGTTTTATTATATTATGCATTAAGTCTAAATTTATCACATTTTAAATGTATTTCTTTTTCCTCCACTAGATCAAGCTTGGACATAGATCAGAGGCTAAAGATGGTAAGTATTTCATGTAAACTGACAGAACAGGAAATGTTCTAATTCTTACTTAAGAAATGAACAAAATGTTAGAGTACCAAGGGCTCTAGATAGTTATTGCAGAGTCACAGAGAATAAAGATAATCTCAGGGTGGAGACAGGATATTTGCAGTTTCCACCCCTTGGTATTCAGAAAACATTTAAGTCACCTAAATAAATGGAAGGAAACAGGTTATTATTGGTTTATATTGATGTCTTTCTTCATTACTGTTTTGCTGTAGTGATTAGGTGGTGTTAACAGTCATTGTTTCTTTTTCTGTTATTCTAATTACTTTGAAAATTCAGGGTATACCTTTATGAAGTCCACAAAGCTCACATGGGAAATGATGTATTGGGGGATAAGATTTCTTTTAACTCCCAAAGCCTTGTTTGCTCGAATAATAAATCCTGCTTAGTCATCAAAAAAAAAAAAATCTAATATTACCAGATCTTAATTTTGAATTCTGGAAGCAATACTATCTTACCATTAATATGCTGTTATGTTAGCATTACTAATCTGCTGCTGATAGCCATAGGGCAAGTTTGTATTCATTTATTACCTATCTGCTATATACTTCATGCATTTTATTCTTTTAGTGTTCAGATCTGACTTGGTATTTAAACTATTTTAAAAATAAAGCAAAGTTGACTTTCCTGAGGGCCTGTGGGTTAAATCTCAGTGCTGTTACTGCTACAGCCTGAGTTTGATCCCTGCCCAGGGAGTAACCTACCTGACACCACAGACCTCTCCTGTCTTGGCCACTGCTCCCCTCAGCAGTGTATTTCACTGTCCAGATCCACCTGTTCTGCACCCTACTTTGTCTGGTGAGTCCTCTCACCCCTCGCACCCCTGGTCTACACCCTAGATCTTATGTGCAAAAAAATTTTTTAAATACAGCAATGTAAAAGAAAAACAGACATGCTATAAAATTTGTCTGTAGAATATCATCACTTTCCTGAGATACTAACGGTATCTGCCCCTAAAATATGTTTCTAAGGCTTGAGATTTTAGATTTTTCACTTTTTGCTTTGTCTTTTTGTGTAGGTATAAACAGAACAGCCTTAAGAGAAATAAAATTATTACAGGAGCTAAGTCATCCAAATATAATTGGTGTGAGTATGCTCTAAGTTGTTTCTGGAATTTGGAACTCCTTCCTGAATGTGATAGATGTTAATTAAAAATTCAGCAAGATGAGTTGTTCTATAGATAAGCTTTGCAGAAAAGCTTAAAAATTAAAAAGCTGAAAGGCCCTCCCTGGTGGCACAACAGGTTAGAACGCAACACTGTAAGACTGCCACAGCCACTTCAGTATGAGTTCGATACCCGGTCTCAGAGGTGATCCACAAAGCCCGGCAGACCTCTCCTGTCTCCCCTGCTGCACCCCTCAGCAGTGTACTTTGTCAGTCTACCTGTTCTGCTTCCCACTCTGTCTCTGGTGAATCTGAAACTGTGTAACTGAGGAAATAAGTATAGGCATATAGGCTGATTTTGTCAGAAATCATTTTGAAGCCTAAAATGTTCTATCATGTAAATCTTGAGCAAGTTCTTTAACTTTGTGCCTTATTTTCTACCTATAGGGCAGCAAAGGATACTATCAAATTTAATAACATTATTTAACCTTTATAGGGAATTGTCAGCTAGCCAAACACTTGTCTGATTATTTTTAAATGCCTTCACTTGATGTTATGTCAAGAATCACATTTTTTAAGTTTTAAAATTCTACTTTGCAGCTTCTTGATGCTTTTGGACACAAATCTAATATTAGCCTTGTCTTTGATTTTATGGAAACTGATTTAGAGGTAAGACTTAAGATTTCAAGAGGAATATTTTTTTCTTAGTTTATGAAGGGAATCAAATATTTTCTGCGTGTGAAGTTACTGATAGTGAAAACTGCTTAATTTTGTTGAGATCTTGATATAAACTGAAGTCAAGGTTCTGAGTTTTTTATTTCTATTCCCGGTGTTACATACAAGGATTGGATTTCATTGTTTTTAAAGAAATAAATATTTGACCTTTTAAATTTCAGAGTTAGTTACTGTTTCTTATTATCACATAGTATAATCTTTTTGAGCATTGCTCTTTTTGAGAAATAAGATACTATTGTTTTTTGTTAATATTAATTGAATCTCGGAAACTGATAACCCAAGGATGTGAAACAGCTAGAATTTTCATATACTGCCAGTGTAAAGACAGAATGGTACAGCTGCTTTGGAAAACATCTCACAGGTTTTTTTTATATTTGTAGTTAAATGTACACTTAAGTTATAATCTAGCAATACTACTGCTAGATGTCTATCCAAAAGAAACAAAACCATGTCTACATAGAAATCAGATGGTACACAGATACTTAGTTTTATTTATAAGTACCCAACATGAAAACACATATCCTTTATCTAGTGAAGGTATAAATAAACATCCATAAAATAAACACTGTTTGGAAATAGAAAGTAATAAACTGTTCTTTGACACAACAGTATAAATATGATTCTGAAACACGTTATACTAAATAAAAGAAGCCAGGCTCAAGACTAGATTTTATGGTTTCCAGTTAACATGATATTTCTAGAAAAGCAAAAGTAAAGGAAATCAGTATTAGTGCTGGTACTGGTAATAAAAGGAAAAACTGAATATATAGGAATTTTGAGAGGTTATCAAACTAATATTTTAATTATGATAGTGGTTCTACAACTAGATATGGTTGTCAAAACTAATGGAACATTGTGCCAAAAATTGGTACATTTTAACCTAAACCTGAACCTGATTTTTACAAAAAGAAAAGAGAATTTCTACCAAATAAAGACAAGTCTAGGAATAACCTACCTTTAAGGCATAGCTTATAAGTAATGTCATCAAATCTCAGTCTTAAGTTTATAATTTAGCTCTATTTTCTTCTCTGTGGCCATTATTTATGGGCATAATTTCTCAACAGTTCTCATGCACTTCCAGGCTTATATCCTTAGCCCTTAGGAATTGCTAAAGAAAGAAAATGCTTTGATCTTTGGATTCTAGCACAGGTGCTTAACTTGGTTGACTGACTTGGCTTGGATCACAACCTCCCCCAAGCTAGTCTCCTGGCTAACAGTCTGCGGTATGGTAATTGAATATGCCTGGTTCATCAGTCTGCCTCTAGAGGCAAGGTAGTGGTCAGTCCTGTTTTAACCATATGGACTGAGCAAGGAGCAGGTGGTTCCCAAAGGAATGCTTAGTACTTTAGCATATGGACTGAGCAGGGAGCAGGTGGTTCCCAAAGGAATGCTCAGTACTCTTATCGGAAGAGGTTGTCTGTACTGGGGCAAGCAAAGATAACATATGATTGCTACATTTCATGCTTAAAAGCAAAGCAGTAGGAGACAAAGCACTGCTTTTTTTTTTTTTTTTAACCAAACCAAAGATAATTTCCCTAACCACATAAACACATCTGACAATGCTTCTAAGAAAGGTTAGGCAACCTGTCTTGAGATTCTTCTTTATGAATAAATTAATTTATACCTATAAATAATTTTGTGGAATGTATTTACCTATATTTTATGTACCTACTATACAGGTTATAATAAAGGATAATAGCCTTGTACTGACACCATCACACATCAAAGCCTACATGTTAATGACTCTTCAGGGGTTAGAATATCTACATCAACATTGGATTCTACATAGGGTAAGGTTTTTAATCAAGCACAATTGCTGCTTTATGTGTAGACAAGTTGTCTGTAGTCAGTTTACTATGTAAAAGCCTTAACGTGTAAATTACTGTTTTTGTGGGAGTTTTCTGTAATATGTAAATTATTAAAATAAAGATGTAGCTTGGTCACTTCATCCCACCTGCTTCCTTTTGCCTTCTGCTATTCCATCAGATGATGCTTTGAGAACTCTAACTTACTAAGTGAAATGGGACAGATCTAATCCTTCTTTTCATAAATGAGGAACTAAGTTGCTAAAAGAACTCAACAAGGTTATATATGTTTTTCAAGGGTAGTAGCTGACAACTGACAGTGTTAGAATTTATATCTTTTGACTTTGGTTCCAGTGTTCTTTGTGGTACTCTGTTTTTATGGGAGGAAATTACAATGAAAAACTGTATTAAATTATACAATGCTAAAATGCCTTTAGAAAAGTATTTATAGTAGCTCTAAAATTCTATGAAGTAATGAAATAAAATTTCTGAAGTGACTGAGTCATTGTTAGGAATTTTTAGTTGTTGGAACAAAGCTGATAATTTAGATAAGTAGATTATTCAGCTTGTGTAATTTTTAGTAATTCTCAGACATTGAACTTGGAATTCATTTTGAGTTTTTGTTAATATCTCTTTATCCTAGATTTTGAAGAATATGTTCCTCATCCTTTCTAAATGCATAGTGTTGTTCTTATTAAATTAATAGTATCAACCATTTATTGAGAGTTTACAATGAGCCAGTAATTACAGTAGACTTTTACAGAAAATATTAAGTTTAATCCTCACAGAATTTCTGTAAAGAAGGTAATTGAAAATTATATCTAGATTCTAACATTGTCAGTTATTATCTACTGAACACGAAATTTTGTACCCTTGACTCATATCACTAAAAGTAATATGATCAATATTTTGTGGTGATAGTATTTTATATCAATTTTTAAGATACTGATGTTTAAATTTGGGGTATCACACCATTGTTGCTAAGTTTAAAGTTAAGCAAAGGTAACAACACAATATTGCTCCTTACCCTGCTTGCTTATTTGTTTTAAAACCTCCATGATACAGGATCTAAAACCAAACAACTTGTTACTCGATGAAAATGGCGTTCTAAAACTCGCAGATTTTGGCCTAGCCAAATCATTTGGAAGCCCCAATAGAATTTATACACATCAAGTTGTAACCAGGTAAGAATCTCTTAAATAACAAAAAGCTTATATTGTACAGGTTATTAATCACAAATGAACATCATTTGGCTTTCCTGAAATACCTTGGCACAATTCTGTAATCATTGTTTTGTCATTGTTTTGTTAAAAGTACAACTCATTTATGTTATCTGAATTTTACTACAGTTACCAAATACAGATGGGGTTGAGTTAAAACTCACTTCTCAGACATTTACTTAATAATATTAGGGAGAAATTTAACTTCATTTGCATTTTAGTTGAGTGGTTGGAACGTTAGTGACCACTCTTTTTACATAATCAACTGATTGGGGAGGGTTGGGGTAAGGGAAGTTGTTTTTATTTTATTGACCATACCGATTCCAAATTTTATATTATTCAGTGTAAATGGAAATTCTCTGAACAAAACAGTAAATTGATACTTGGATTTTTCATATTATTGGTGTTCATACTTTGTGTTTATACATTTTATGTATTGAAAACTAAAAATTACCTTAAATAGGTAAGGAGAGCAGACGTTGTTAATCTTTTTTGCATTTCCTAACTTCCAAAGCACTTTTAAACATCTCAGAAGATCTTTAGAGTTTGTATTCTTTTATTACCTTCTTCCAAATAGATCTTACTAAGTATCAGTCACTAAGCCCTGCCTTAAAAGAGATTATCAGTAGATGTTTGTCTGGTTACTAGAATGATTAAACTCATCATTCAGAAACTTGTTGAGCTCAGGAAAACAGGGCTACCTACCTACCTACTAATTTCTCCTATTTTCTCTTCCTGCAAATCAAGTAGGACTAATGGGTCAAGTTAAAATTTGGGAATTGACAATTAGGTTTAGTGATGTGGCATATCACCCTTCACATGAGCAGATTTGGTGGAGTGGTGGAATGAAAAGCCTGATTGAAAAGGATTTAAGAGAGTATGGGAGAAGAGGAATTGAAAATATTAAAAATAAACAGCTCATCTGACTAACCAAAGAATGAGGAGGTAGCTATTAGAGGAAGCGTAAGGTCCAAAAATTTTTTTCTGTTCTTTCTTTGCTTTTAGTTTATTTTTAAGGTGGGAGAATAATAGGATATTTGTACATTGAGATAAAAGTCTGTTAGAGAACAAAATGTTGATACAGGAGAAAGAGGAGAGAATTGCAGGAGCTGTAACTTGAAAAGAGGCAAGAGAAGATGATATGTAACTCCATTATTGGAGAATTGACTTTAAAAATAGTCGAGGATAGTTTTATCTGTTGTTACAGATGGAAAAGCAGTCTATGAATACAAATGTCTAGGTGAGTCTGCAGAGGTATTTTCTTAATACCCGATTTTTTTCGGTGGCATAGCAAAGTCATCAGCTAGACAGAAGGATGGTTTTGATGGTGTCAGAAGAAAGGATGTATTGTTTAAGAGTAATGAATCAATGATGTTTACAATTTTCTGACAAGAACACAGAAATACTTGATTTTACAGTTAATTTTGTAAGTCAGTGTATCCAGAAAAGTGAATTTCATCAGTGGGATCTTTTTTTTTAATATAATAGTTTATTTTTCCATCATTTTGTGCCTTTTTCCATCTCAGTTATAATCCCTGTGGGCTTCTCATCACTAAATCACCCGTGTGCCATCATCATAGTCCAGTGTACTTCCTTCCCACCCCCCATTTTGGATCCTATTCTCCACTCCACCCCATAAAATGTCTCTATCAGTGGTATCTTTTGATGAGGAGTTTTTAAGAAATACTAACCTGGCCCTCCCTGATGATGCAGTGGGTTGAAACGCAGCACTGCAAAGCTGGCATATGGCTGCTTCAGTACAAGTTCGATCCCGCCCCAGAGGTGATCCACATGGCACAGCAGACTTTTCCTGTCTTGCCAGCTGCTCCCCTCAGCAGTGTATTTCATTGATCTACCTGTTCTGCTCCCCACTCTGTCTCTGGTGAATCCTCTTACCACCTCTGGCCTGTACCACAGTACTATATGCATAAACATGCGTTTAAAAAAGAGTAATGCCAATCCACTCTAAGTTGACATTTTTTTGTTTGTTCTTTAGGTGGTATCGGGCCCCTGAGTTACTATTTGGAGCTAGAATGTATGGTGTAGGTGTGGACATGTGGGCTGTTGGCTGTATATTAGCAGAGTTGCTTCTAAGGGTAAGACTTGAAGTGATGTTCACAATTCAGTAGGGTTACAGGATTTTTGTATAATTTATTTCAGTTACCTTCCTAGAGGAGATTTCCAAGAGAGGAGCACCATTCTTAACAAAAACCAACAACCTATTTAAAAATAAAACCTCCTCCAAATGCAGTCTTTTTACTAGTGCTAATATCAGATGAGAAGACACCCCTCTATCATCATTGTGGGGCTCAAGTGCTAAAGGCTTGGCACATGGTTGGTCTGCAGCACTCTCATTCCAGTACCTTGGTTTGTATTGGCTCAGAACAGAGCTTCCAATGTATGTTTCCTATGGATTCCTGGATGTACTGTGGGACAAGAGATTGAAAGTATTTCAGTTACCTGAGAATGTTGTTTATTCCTCTTGTGTACAGAAATTGCCTATTTTTTAATAATTTGTTTGTAATCCTGTGCTGTATTACCTAAACATCATCTCATAATGCTCCTTTACTTGTGTCACCAGTGTTCAGGTCCACCCACAGGATGGCCCTCAGCATAGCACAGTGCCTGTTACATGATAAATGTTTATTTAAGATTTGCAGAATATATAAAATGGTCAGTGTGTTACTGTTTACTTGGTTAACAGTGACAGAATATAATCCATATCCAGCATATACCTCAGAGGACATTTTTGTTCATTTTTTTATTTTTTCTTACTAAGTTTATAGTATTTTTCACTATATAACAGCTATCAGAAATCATGTTTGAAATATCTGCTGTTGGCTTTCTTTTAGGTTCCTTTCTTGCCTGGAGATTCAGACCTTGATCAATTAACAAGAATATTTGAAACACTGGGAACACCAACTGAGGAACAGTGGCCTGTAAGACTTCATATATTCTCTTTAAAATTTAGTTTGGATTCTATAAAGTTGCAGAATTTGGCATGTAATGAAGTTGAAGTTGAAATTAAGTGTGTAGAATTTTTTTTGTTCTATTTCTCAGCTTTCTATTTCTAATCAAAACTTTGCTATACTAACTATAAAACATGCCTTAGGACTGTCATTTATTAAGTTCTTTTCTATATTGCCACTCATGGTAGGTGTTTCATAAATTATATTTAATTATTGCAACAATCCTATTAAGTGGTTACCATTACTCCTATTTTAAAGATGAAATGACTGAGGTTTAGTGACCTTCCGTACCTTACCCAAGGCTATCACCCAGTGTCATAACCAGGACTGCATTCTGGGTGTTCAGACTCCAGAGCCTTTGTTGATAGCATTTATTATGTTGTTTTCTCATTGACTTTCTAAACAGTTCTAACACTGTCGACAATAATAAGTATATCAATTAAAATACTGACATTAAAAAAGATTTCTTACTTTGAGATTTTCATGTGATTGTAAGAAATAGTATTATATATAGATTTACATGTAATTCTGGGCATTATGCACATTATTATATATTTTACCCAGCTTCCCAGAATGATAGCATGTAAAAGTAGCACATTACATTCAGGATGTTGACATTGATGTGGTTGAGAAACAGGACATCAACAAGACCCCTCATGTTGCCCTTTTATAGCAGTACCCCTTAGTTCTTCCACCCTCACCTTCTTAATTCTCAGCAACCACTAGTCCTTTCTTCATTGTTAGTTTTGTCATACAGTTACAGTGTGTAACTTCGGGGATTGACCTTTTTCACATTTAGGATGATTCTGTATTCATTCAACTAGGTTATTGTATGTCTCTTCATGTTTCTTTTACTTTTTGGATAATGGTCCACTTTTGCACATATGATTTGCCAATATTTCCCTATACCTTATCTTTTCATCCTCCTTGTTTTTATTTATTTTTTTTTCCCCAGAGTAGAAGTTTTTAATTTTGATCAAGTCTTTTTTTACTGATTTTTTTTTTTCCTTTTATGAATCATGCTTGGGTATCAGGGTAAAGAACTCGCTTAACCCAGAAATTTCCTGATGATTTTCTTGTATTTTTTCCCTAAAAAGTTTCATAGTTTTACATTTAAGTCCATTACCCTGTGTCAGTTAATTTTATGAGATTAGAAACTCATCTTAAACATATGTTTATTATGTTCAGCAATTCTGGCACCATTTGTTGTAAGATTATTCATTGAACTGCTTTTGCAAGTCTGTCAGAAATCAGTTGCACATACATTTTTTTTTTTTTTTTAAAGATTTATTTATTTATTTGTGCATACAGAACTGGGGTACAGGCCAGAGACTCAGGGGCGGTGAGAGGCTTCACCAGAGACAGAGTGGGGAGCAGAACAGGCAGATCTACGAAGTACACTGCTGAGGGAAGCAGCGGGCAGGCCAGGAGAGGTCTGGCTCGCCATGTGGTCTCCTCCGGGGCAGGCGGCAGGCGGGAATCGAACTCATGCGGAAGTGGCCTCAGATTCTCAGTGCTGTGCTTTAACCCGCTGCGCCACCAGGGAGGGCCGCACATACATTTTTTTAAGGTATTTTTTTACGCATACAGCAATGTGGTACAGGCCAGAGGTGCAGGGGCGGTGAGAGAATTTACCAGAGACAGAATGGGTTGCAGAACAGGAAGATTAATGAAGTACACTCTGAGGGGAGCAGAGGGTGAAACAGGAGAAGTCTGTCATGCCATGTGCATCACCTTCCTGGCCGGGATTGAACTTGTGCTGAGGCGGGCTGCAGCTAGCGTCATGGTGCTACGCTCTAACTTATTGCACCACCAGGGAGGCCTCAGTTGCACATATATGTGGATCTATTTCTGGATTTTCTGTTGTGTTTCAGTAATTTGTCTATCCTACTGCTAGTACTGCAGTTCAATTAAATTAGTTATCTGTTAAGACTTGAAATCAGATAGACTGATTATTCTGTTGTTTTAGCTATTCTTTTTTGCTTTTTTATATAAATTTTATAGCTATAATTTGTCAGAATTTTGATAAGAATTGTTAAACCTATTTATCAGTTTGAGACTTGACTTCTTTGCAGTGCTAAATCATCTGGTCCATGAACATGATAGGTTTTACATTTTGTTTAGAACTTGTATTTCATAAGTGTTATTTAACTTGCTTTCAGTACACAAGTCAAGCATATAGTTTTTCAAAGATTTATTTATTTATGCATACAAGAACTGGGGTATGGAAGAGAGGTGTGCACGGTGAAAGGATTCACCAAAGACAGAGTGGGGAACAGAACAGGTAGATCGACTGAAGTACACTGCTGAGGGAGCAGCAGGTGGGACAGGAGAGGTCTGATGCGCTATGCCTCGTAGGTCACTTCCCTGGCCAGGGATGGAATTCTTGGTGCAGTGGCTGCAGGTAGCTTCATGTTGTTGCACCTTAGCACCTAGTGCCACCAGGGAGGGGCCTGTAATTGACTTTCAGAAACTAATATCCTGCAAACTGACTCTGCTCATTAGTTCTAGAAGTTTCAAAATAGATTTGGGACTTTCTACTTAGATCATCACCTTCATATATTGTTTTATTTGACTTGATTTGAGGTCTCTGTACTTCTCAACCTTTTACTCAAATTTTAATTTTAAAAATGTTTTTACAGGACATGTGTAGTCTTCCAGATTTCGTGACATTTAAGAGTTTCCCTGCAATCCCATTACAGCACATCTTCATTGCAGCAGGAGATGACTTGCTAGATCTCATACAAGGCTTATTCTTATTTAACCCATGTACTCGAATTACAGCCACACAGGTATTTTAGCATGTTTCTTTTACTAGGAACTGTGAAGATAATCTTAACTAGAGCACTGATAAAAAGAATTTCATAAGATTTTCTACATATTTTGAATAATGGAAAGATATGTTTTAAGGAATAGTAATTTTTTTACTTTTCCCCAAACTATAAGCACTGTTGAGACTCATATAATGCACAGATATATGAGTCTTTAGACTTGTTTTTGAAAATATAAATACATGTCTGTTTCACTAATTGGTTTTTTAAGTATTGTTTACATAGAAAGGGATTTTTGTTAAGATACTGTATTTGTTAAGACACTGCTATATTTGGGTATTTTTTAAGATTTATTTCATTTATTTATTATACAAGAACTGGAGAAAAGGCCAGAGGTGCCAGCTGGGGAAGAGGACTCACCTGATACAAAGTAGGAAGCAGAACAGGCAGATCTACTAAAACTAGAATATGTCGTCATTTTTTTTTAGTCTTTCTTACGCTGCTAGATACCTATTTGTAGTAATTTTGCATGTCCAAACTCTTGAAATTAATTTTGTTTTGGTAGAAGGGTTATTAACATAATATACTTAGGCTCCCAACAGTTTTGGAGGTTAGATTTTCTTAAACACCATTCATACTAACTTATAAATCTTTTCTGGGGTGTGTGTGTTTCTTTTAAAAGGCATTGAAAACTAAATATTTTAGTAACCGGCCAGGGCCAACACCTGGATGTCAGCTGCCACGACCAAACTGTCCAGTGGAAACTTTAAAGGAGCAGTCAAATCCAGCCGTGGCAACAAAGCGGAAGAGAACAGAGGCCTTGGAACAAGGTAAAATGCCATTTTCATAAGAAATTCAGTTAATTCAGAAAACTACACAGATATATAGTTAATATATAGTGACTGGAGGACAGCTAAGAAATGTAGATAAGTTATTTGCTTTTTATAAGTTTAAATGATAAAAATAGAATTTTAAGTCATGAGTGGGTTCAAGCCCTGTTTGCTTCTTCTGAGAGTGTCTGTTTGCTGTTGAAAAGGACGCAGGCACTTATGAACAGACTTCACGATTATGAGCACACTGTTCTTGCCATGAATTCTGAATGGCATGCTTATGTTTGAATTCTGAATGGTACACATACCAAATGGTATGCTAATGTTCCATTAGTGCTACTGGAAAGTCAAGTCAAGTAAATATTACTGAGATGCAATGACTGTTTAAAATTGCCATAAGATTACCTGTGAACCACCTCATTTTTTCCCCCCCCAGGAGTATTACCCAAGAAGCTAATTTTTTAGTTACAGAGAACACTGGACAGTATTTTACTACTGAAGAAAATAGTTCAAAATACAAATAATGGAAAAATAGTAAATGTTAAATGCTGTAGAAGGAATTTGTAAATATTCTACACATGTAAAATATATAAATTGTGTTATTTTTATTAAATATATTTTAAAACAAACAATTCTGATTTTTCTGATTGGAGTACAAAAGTAAGATAAGCTCAGGTCTTTGAAATGTTGAATTGAAAATGCATTAAGGAAACTAATAAAACTAATTATCAGTTCTGATGATCTGGTCTATACAGCATCACAAATTTGACTAAGAATATTTGAAAGTGGAAAACTAGTAGTAATTAGCAGACACTTGCCTCTCCTACCCAGTCTTAACAAATGTTAATATATGAAATGGAAAAAAAGATACTGTAGTTAAAATTGAGGTGCTTCTAATATGTCCCTTTATTCTGTAGCCTCCCTTTCACCCTAATGAAATAGAAGACTATCAGGAAATGAGTGTCCTCCCATGATTTTATACTGCCCTTTACACTGCTTCAGTGCATGTAGTAATATTTAATAACATAACTAAATATTTAGTATACTACAAAATATTGTAGTAATGTTTTGGGTCTCAAAATTTGATATGAATGATTAGCTATATTTCATGCTATAATTTTTTTTATTCACTCAGAAACTTTAATTTCTTCCATGTTAATGCATGTAAATCAGTTTTAACTCCATATAATATATAATAATAAAATATACCTTATGTATTCAACACTGTTTACTCATGCTCTATTTGAAGACTGCTGTTTTTCTTTTGCTGAGTAAATTAAATACTGTAAAGCAGTTTAAACACAGTTATTACTCACAGTTTGGTAGGTCAGCTGTCTGGCAGGGCATATCAGTATTTTTTGCGTAGTCCAAAATCTCATGAGGCCAAAATCAAGGTGTCAGTTTGGGCTTTTTCCTGAAGTTCTAGAGAAGCATTTGCTTCCAAGCTTAATCAGTTCTTGCTGTTTTAATCATGTGCCACCTTTACTTGTCAGTTAGATTGGGCTCTTTCCTGAAGTTCTAGAGAAGCATTTGCTTCCAAGCTTAATCAGTTCTTGCTGTTTTAATCATGTGCCACCTTTACTTGTCAGTTAGATTGGGCTCTTCCCTGAAGTTCTAGAGAAGCATTTGCTTCCAAGCTTAAATCAGTTCTTGCAGTTTTAATCATGTGCCACCTTTACTTACTGGGTCACCCGGAGCCTCTCTCATCCTAACACAGCTCTAAGTTCCTTGTCACCTAGCGCTCCATCTGCAAGCCAGCCACAATGTTTCACCCTCATCTCGTTTCTAAATCTACTACTAACAGAGAAAATTGTTACTACTTTTTTCCCTTCTTATAAAGAAGGGTTATCCTTGGCTTGGGTCATCTTTATATTAAGTACAACTCACTTAACATCTTTACAATTCCTTCACAGCAGTACTTAGTGCTTGACAGTCAGTGGGAATCTTGAGATGGCCACATTTAGAATTCGGCCACATTTAGAATTTGGCCATAGTGACATTCAGATTTTTAACTTTTTCACAGCTATAAATAGAATGTGTGTGTGTGTGTGTAATATATATACATATACATATATATATATATGGAAGTTTTTTTTTAATTTACATACTCAGAATTGTAACTAGGGCATAAAGTATATATTTTCAATCAATGTTGATTTGCCATTCTTCTCCAAAGTAGTATTAATTTATACTCTTAAGTAGCAGTTTATACTCTCAGTAGCTATCAATTGCTCTTAAAAATGAAGAAGCCTTTTACTTTACAGCATAAGCAAAAGTTAACTCAAAATGGATCAGAGACCTATAAGACCAATAACTATAATAACCCTTAGAAGAAAAACACAGGAGAAAAGCCTCATGACATGAGGTTTGGCAAGAACTTCTGGACACCAGAAGCATAGGCAACTTAAGTAAAAATAGACAAACTGGATTTACATCAAAAACCAAAACACAAAAAACCTTGTCAACATCAAAGGACATGAAATCAGCAGTGAAAAATGCCGCCTACTGAATTAAAGAAAATATTTGCAAATCATGTATCTGATAAAGTGTTACTATCCAGAATATATGAAGAACTATGGTAGCTTATCAATTTTAAAGAATCTGAAATAAAAATTGGCAAAAGATTTGAATAAGCCCACGGGGATTACAATTGAGATGGGAAAATGCACAAAATGATGTAAAAATAAACTATTATATAAAAAATAACTAATAATAATACAGAGTACCAGCCCTTGAAATGGATTGGGGAAAAAAAAGATTTGAATAGACATCTTACTGATGAAAATACAGTAATGACCAACAAGCATAGGAAAGGATGCTTAGATCATTGGTCAATAAGGAAATGCAAGTCAAAATCATGGTAACATGCCATAGCACATCCAAGGTTTGTAAAGATGTCGGTAAAATGAAACCTTTGTTCACTGTTGGTAGGATGTGAAATTGTGTAACCAACGACTATGGAGAACCAGTGTTTCTTCAAAAAAATTAAAAAATGAATTACCATATGATCCAGCAATTTCACTTCTGAACTGTGGTTCGATAGTTCATATTTGAATGGATTCAAATATTTTGTGTCTACCTATTGGGGGGACAAACTTTTTGTCCATCTAACTATAGGAGTATTACAAAATTAATCACCTTTTATGAATTTGGTTTATATACATTCCTTAAAAGAGAACCATTCTAGTTTTTGTTTATTTTTAACACTTCTAAATTTGATGTTGTTAAATAATCCCAGAACTTTCATTTCCTTACATTTTAGCATATATAAAGTTATTTTATATATTAGATCTTTTTGTTATTTATATCCTATTCCACTGATTTGTGAGTACCACATTACTTTAAAGAATGAAGCTTTATATTACTAGCATAGTAATATATTTTTGATTACTGGTAATAGTATTTCCTCATCCCTCATCAAATTAATCTGAAGTTTTCAGCTTTTATTATTAATGCCCAATACAATTATAACAATTATAAATGGTTTATATTGTTATCTTAATACCCTATTGTCATCTCACTTTTTAAATAGTACTGTGACATCTTTTTTTTTTAACTAGAAAGCACATCAAATTTTTTACTGCAATTTAAGACAATTTAATACATTTCCTTTGACATGGTAATATTCCTACAGAGTAATACTATTGTATATTGATAGAACATTCAATGGCCTAAAATACACATCAAAACCAAGGACTTAGTTCAAAATGATTTGAGGGCTAAAAATCAGTGAAGATCTGGCCACAAATGTCATTCCATCAAGATAAGAAATTAATTGTGACAGTAATTAGCAATAACTTTGAATGTACTTCTAACAGAAACCCACCATTATATTTTATTGTAGGTAATCTTTATAAATGAAAAATTCTGAAAAAACATAAGACAAACATCTTTCAAACATTGACAGTCACTTCTGTCATTCTTAGTTTGTAGAGCACTAGTGTCCATTATATTGTTTTAGCCAGAGCTCCCTATAGTCAGAGATTCCTAAGTAGTTAAATAATCAATTTCTTGTTTTTCTCAAAATTACTCTTTTAAGATAGTGGCAAATACTGACAACTTCATTATAGTAATACAATCTATAAATAAAATACATGAATACCAAATACTACTAAATTTCTTACAGACAACATAAATGTTTAAGTTGCCTCCTAAAATGTAGAAATACTGGAAAACACCCAGCTAGTCAGGATGTAGCAAAATCTGTGCAATCCTTTTTAAAAGTCTCGTGATATAAATAAGCTCGCACTAATTTCAGCTGGTTTAACTTCAAAGCATGATACTTGAAGGTAAAGAACAGGATCTTTTAAGAGTTCTCTTGTAGTTTTGATCTGTATGAAGGTGCTGGATGGAACAAATACAGCTCACAGAATTAAAACTTTGAAGACTTGAATGAACAGGATCACATAAAACAGAGAGTTTTGAAGTATTCTGACGGGGTTTTAATGGAAAAATGTCTCTTAGAGAGTTTTTTTCTTTATTCTCTTTTGAGGACATCTCTTTGTTTTCCAGTGCCCGAGCAAGCATGTAGCTAACTTTTCTTTGATGAGCCAGAGCTTCTTCTTTATCATTTAACTGCATGTACAGAAATTTAAAATGTATCAGTAGTCAATAAAATGTTAAAGAGCTGTATTCAGAGAAAAAAGCATTCATCAAAATGTAAAGTCTGGCCCTCCCTGGTGGCGCAGCGGGTTAAAGCACAGCACTAAGAAGCTAAAGCCGCTTCCGCATGAGTTCTAGCCCTGCCTGCCCCG